AATTCCACGTGACAGTTGCCATCCTCCCCATTGTAAGTGTGTAGTTCAGAGGCATTCAGCACACGCCCACGGCCGTGTGGCCAGCCCCACCGTCGTCGTCCTATGGAGCTGAAACTCCGTCCCGTCGCCGCCTCCCCCAGCCCCCGGCAGCCACCACGCTGTTTTCTATGTCCGGTCCTGACGACCCTGAGTGCCCGTCCCTCTGGGGCTGTTTCCATTCCTGGCCGTGGGTCTGGCCCCCTCAGGTGGCGTGTGTGCGGAGTCCAAAGCTTTTGTAGTGTGGTGGAAGCCTGTTCACACCCCCACCAGAGCTGCAGGGATTCTGCTTCCTCACCGTGCGTGCGTGCGTGTGCACGCGTACGTGTGTGTGTGTCCTGTTCTGTCACTTTTCCTTTTAGTATTAGCCATGGATATCTTGTGGCAGTTTTAATTTATTTTTACTTAGACTGGGTATGTTTTTGTATATAGATTACCATTCATTTCTCTTCCTTTTTTTGTGGGATCTTTTGCATATTTAAAAAAAATAATAATACTGGATTTGCTCTCTCCTCACTCTGGCAGGAGTGTGTTCCTGAATGCTGTTTATTTCATTGTGAGTTCTCTGGAGACTGACTGGCCTTTACACCAGCTCTCCCAAGGGGAACACGCACTGACAGCCGGGGCGGGGGCGGTCTCTGGAACCCAGGATGGGGATCCCAGCCCGGGAGGCCAGGAGGAGGAGACCACGGAGCCCCGTCCGCCCTGGCCTCCATGTCGCCAGGCACAGAGTCGGCTTCACCCCCGGGGGCCCTCAGGGACCAAGTCCTGCGGTCCTGGGCCAGCTCCCGGGGGTGGGGGCAGAATCTGGGGACGGCCTGGCACAGTCAGGTGACCACGGCAGCCCCCCCAGCTGTGTCAGCGGCTGGGACTTGCGTGTGCTGGTTCCTGCCGGGGCCCAGCTCCGTGTGCGGAGGCCGTGTCCAGAGAAGAGGTGTGTGTGTGAGCTGGGGAGGACGCCTCCCCCAGAAAGAGGTGGGGATTCAGCGAAGCGGAGGCTTTGCTCGGTCAGAACCCTTCTCACCACTGTTCTTCCCTCCATGGAGGGCGGGTGCGAGCTTTTCACTTACCTTGTCCACTCTGGTACGGCTTTGGCGTGGCAGGGAGGCCAGGACGCACCGGTGTTTATCTGGTGTCTCCTCACCCACGCGAAGCCCTTTGCATGATTGGCTCCTTCTGTTGTCAGGGCGTTCCCGGCGGCCCTCCATCCGCAGCCGGTGGTGTTGACCGAGGCCTCGTGTTACCTGCAGTGGGGACACCGAGCCCCAGGAGGTTGGGCTGCACCGAGTCCCCCAGCCTGAGCGTGGGGAGCAGAGGAGCTGTTAAGTGCACGCGCGACTCTGGGGAATCCCTGTGCAGGCCAATCACGGCGGGTGGGCCCAGGGTTCCGGCTCCTCTGAGTTTTGCGGCAGAGGTTTGTAGTCTGAGTGGCTGTCCCTCACCTGGCGGGTGATCTCATGGGCCTGGAGAGGCTTTCCTCGGTCAGCCCTTTCTGCAGACGGTGCCGTCCTGACCCCTGGGGGGCAGGCCCGGCCGGGGGGGTGTCAGCAGTGGGTGTCAGCAAGCCAGGAACTTTTGTGCGGTGGTACAGCGAAAAGGATTTTCGGCTGGTGGAATGGATGGACTGTTCCTGGCCTTCTCACCTTTCCTGCTCCCCTCTGTCTGAGTGGGACAGACACCTGGGCGGCTGAGTGCAGCCCACACCTGGCCTCCCAGGTTCCAGGGCAGTTGCATTTCTTAGCAGGGCCCCCCGGTGTCTCAGTCCATATCACAGTTTATCTGGCAGGGGCGTCATGATTTGTAATAAATATATATTTTGTCTTCATCTGTTTCTGGCACAGAATTCCTCAAATCCTTGGAATTCCCTTGGGGAAGAGTGATGCTGTGTAATGGGTGTCTCTTAATCTCCGTAACAGACCCTTTGCAGCCACAGCCGAGTTTACGTTAATGAAGTGACCTTGGAAAGTGTGACTGAGCGCCTGAACGCGTGTGCGCACACGTGGGCCCAGACATCTGGGCCCTTTGGCCCGGGGGTCCGTCCTTGTCCCCCGGGGCTGCTGGATCCCTTGTCTGGGGGGCCCTCTTCGGGCTTTCAGACAGCCGCCTTCTGTGTCCCCATGCGGCAGGATGGAGGGGGGTTCTGTGGGGTCTCGCTTACAAGGGCACTGACCCCGTTCATCAGAGCTCCGTCCTCATGACACGATCACGTCCCGAAGGCCCCACGTCCTGACACCATCACGTCGGGGTTTCAACATGTGAATTCAGGGGCGGGACACAAACATTCACTCTGCAGTGGGGTCTCAGACTCTAGTCTCTTGATAAACTCAGGTTTTGATAGCACTCTGGGTGCATAGCCAATGTTTTGGGGAGAACATAGAGGGTGGTGGTTTACGTTCCCACTCTCTCTGCACCTCCTCGAAGATACCTGACTGGTGTGGATCCTGCCCAACCCTTGCATTCCACTTGAGTCTGGCTCACTCTCCACACTGACCAGCACTTTGCCTTTTGACTCTGATCCCAAGGAGATCTTTGCATGTCCTGGCACCTAGCTCCTCAGCAGGGTTAGTTCCTTTAAGAAACGAGAATGTTTCCAACTTTCACTCGTAAATGACGGTCACACACACGTGCACAGCCAGACGTATGACAGTGAACACACAGCACAGAAAGGAGCCCCGGGGGCCCGCTGCCCGCCTCCACGGGTTGCCATGGAAACAGCCACGATTTTCCTCATCCTGGAAGACGGCGAACATGGGTAGGCTTCACACCTGCCCTATGCTTCCATGGCTGGCATGTGTCAAGGAACGTGGCGGAGCGCAGGGGTGCTGGGAGCCTCCCGGGAAGGGCGCTCTTGGTCTGTCTGTCTTCCAGGTCACTGGGATGCCCGTAAGTAGGGCAGAGTCTGAGTGCCTCAGGCAGAGGTGGGGCGAGCCGTCCGAGGCCGAGTGTCCCTCGGCCCCACAGCAGAGAGGGGACAGAGGCGTGGATTTGTTTTAGCCGTAATTTTAAAAACTGCAGTTGATACTCTGTAGTTGGTATAGTTGAATTCCATGAACTATACAGTCCATGGGGTCACAAAGAGTTGGACATGACTGAGCGACTTTCACACATAGTTGATATAACAGCACGGGCTGGAAATGGTGTGGAGAAGAGGGAGCCTTCTTACATTGTGGGTGGGAAGGCAGTAGACCTGGGTTCTGTCCCTGGGTCGGGAAGATCCCCTGGAGAAGGGAATGGCAACTCAGTCCAATATTCTTACCTGGAGACTTCTATGGACAGAGGAGCTTGGTGAGCTAGAGTCCACGGGGTCACAAAGAGTTGGACATGACGAGTGAGCACATACATACGATGTTCCATAAAATCAGGGGTGTTATGTTTATTTAACTTGTCACCACTGTATTCCTTTTCTCTCACTGCGGTTTACTCTGGTTCCTGGTCCACACATGGGCTGGGAGTACACCGTGGCCTCATACATCCTGTCTGGGTTCTCTGCCGGCGGAGCCACCAGGCTGGACTCCTGGTTTTGAGCCTTCCAGCCTAGGCAGCCTTGGCTGTGTCCCCTGTTACCAAGGCTGCGTTTCTTAGGAGGGACACTGGGATCCACGCAGGGCACCCAGCAGAGCTCGAGGGCCCAGAATTCCCTCTGGCTCACAGAATCCACAGGGCCCTGTGGTCACCCTACCTTTCTCTGTGCCAGAGAGAAAAGGGAGACAGTGGGCAGGTATCAGATTGGAGAGCTTGGGAGAGGTGGTACTTCCAGCCTTTCCCCAGCGAGGCTGTGAGCTCAATCCTTTGAAGCTGACCCATGTCCGAGGCCCTATATCTGAGGTCTTGTATCCATCTATTTTTATAAGAAATGTGGATTTAGTGCTTAGGTATTCATGGCAACCCACTCCAGTATTCTTGCCTGGAGAATCCCAGGGACAGAGGAGCCTGGTGGGCTGCCGTCATTGGGGTTGCACAGAGTCGGACACGACTGAAGCGACTTAGCATGCATGCGTGCATTCTGGGGATATTTAGCCTCAGGTCTCCTGTGGGGAGTTGGGTAGGAAGGAGATAACTCAGATCCACACAGTTTAAACTGTGGTCAGTGCTGAAGTGAAAAAGGTCCTTGGAGTTCAGATTTGAGGTGGAGCAGGGTGCTGACTTAGTCTGGGGGTCAGAGAAGGTGTACTTGTTTCCGGGGTGTGTGTGTGTCTTAGTCGCTTAGTCAGGTCTGACTCTGTGACCCAATGGACTGCAGCCCGCCTGGCTCCTCTGCCCACCAGATTCTCCTGGCAAGAACACTGGAGCGGGTTGTCGTTTCCTTCTCCAGGGGATCTTCCTGGCCCAGGGATCAAACCGGGGTCTCCTGCACTGCAGGCGGAGTCTTTACCGTCTGAGCTGCCAGGGAAGCCCACGTGTTTCCTGTGGCTGCTGTAATGAGGTGCCTCAGACCCGGTGATTTAAAGCAGCAGAATTTATGCTCACTGCTCTGGAGGCCAGAGATCCAAAACTGAGTGTCCGCCGGGTTGGTTTTTCTGAAGGCTCTGCAGAAGGCTCCTTCCTTCCCCCCCCAGCTTCCGGCGGCTCCAGGCTCCCTCGCCTTCTGGCTACCTCACTCCAGTGTCTGCTCCGTCCTCACAGGGCCTGCCCCGCTCTATGTGTCTGTGTCCACCTTGCCCTCTTTCTCTTAGAGGCCGGTGTCTCTGGCTTTAGGACCTGCGTCCTGTCTGACCTCTGAACTTACTTATACCTGCACGTATCTCCATACAAGGTCAGGCACACACGTGCCGGGGTTGGGGCCAGGACATGTCCTGCCGGGCGCAGAGCTCAACCTGCTGCAGAAGGAAGCGGTGTCTGAGTGGGATGAGTTCCTGAGCGGGGCGGGGGCGCCCGGGCCGGTGGAGGGGCTGTTGGGCCGCGAGGTGCTCCCAGGGGGCTGTGCTGGGCCTCGTCGTCTCCAGCCGCGTCTCCTTTTTCCCCAGGAAACTACTTCGCGTCACACTTTTTCATGGGAGGTGAGAAATTCGACACCCCCCACCCCGAAGGTTACCTCTTTGGAGAGAACATGGACCTGAACTTCCTGGGCAATCGCCCGGTCCAGGTGGGTCTTGGTGGGCTGGGCACGTGGGTGGCGTGGCGAAGCCGCCGGCTGCCAGCGGGCACCAGGTCTCCTCCCCATGGGACAGAGGTGCCGTCCGGACGCGTACAGGAGGCCTGGGCCGAGGGCGGGTCCCTGGGGACAGAGCAGTCATCCCTGAACCTGGCACGTCCAGCCTCTGGATTTCATCCCAGGCCCCACGGGTGACTGTCTTTAAAGAGAGAAAAGGTCGTCCACATTCCATGGACCAGTGGGCGAGAGATGAGATCCAAACAGAAACGCAGAAAAATGGCCAGCGCCATTTCTGCAAGTTTGCCCCCATGAATCCCCAGAGAAGTGACTTCTTGTGCTGTTTTTCCTTCATTCTCGGCCCTTGTGGCACCTGCCTTGTACCCAGGACTCTCCCAGGGGCTGGAGGCAGGGGTTTAGCAGGAGGGGTGCAGATGATAAGAGAGCGTTCGATGGATGGAGAGTAGAAAGCGAGAGAACGAGGGCCTGGGGGGTTGCTGAGCAGGGACCTACCTGCCCTGGGTTTTGCGTCCTGAGATGACGGTCCCCGGTGCCAGGGAGGGGTCAGGCAGGGGACCCTCTCAGGAGTCACGACTCGTCCCCTAAGGCTGCTGAGTTGTGGGCTGTTTTAGCCATGGAGCCGCCTTGTGGTTGACACAAAGTCTTCATTCTTTTAACTGATGGGGGGCGAGGGCCCAGGACCCGGAGCGCTGGCCCCCCACTCGCAGAGCTGGTGGGGCCTCCGCGCCCCGCTGAGCTGCCCATCCTCCTGCGTCCATGGCAGCAGGCAGGACCTGCCTCTGTGTCCTGCAGCCTCGGCGCTGACCCAGAGGCCTCCTGCAGACCTGTTATCCCATGTGACCTGCATTTCTAAACCACTGTAGCATCACCTGCATTGATGCAGACATGCTGGGTGCCCGTTACCTGGCTTCCCAGTGACAGCGTTTCCCAAGACTGTGTTGTCACCAAGACTGACCTCAGTCCCATGCCTTCCAGAGACTTCCAGTTTTACAGCACCTGTGTGTGTGTGAGAGAGAGTGAGCACGTGTCCCCACCAGAATCTGTACTGACCGTTGTCCTGGCCCAGCCCTAACCTCTGCCCCAGGGACTCCGCGGAGGGTCCTTCCCGGAACTGGGGACCCAGACACCTCGGGGCAGTTCTGGTCCCAGCCGTGCCCCGTGCTGGCCGCGTCACCTGTGGTTCCTCGGATGCGGATGAGGGTAGTGCTGTCCTGTGGTCGGTGTGAGGGCCCCGGGGTGACCAGGCAGGGATGTGACCGTCGCCTCGATGAAGCCCTGTTTTCTTCCTCTGCTGAGCCCTGGAGTCACCTGCAATTCTCTTTCCCTCCTAGTTCCCTTACGTCACACCTGCACCCCACGAGCCCGTGAAGACTCTGAGGAGCCTGGTGAACATCCGCAAAGACTCCCTCCGGCTCGTGAGGTGGGCCCCCCCGCCCCAGGGGTGCCCTGCGCTTGGGAGAGTGGTTCCCGGCCCGACCGCCCATGTGTAGAATCAGGCGTGGAATCAGAGCTGCCCAGGCTGAGGGTGGGGCAGGGCCGCCGGGTTCAGCCTCGGCGCTGCAGCCTGTAACCCCGGGTCTCAGCCGGTGACTGTGCCCCTGGGCCGCGGGCCAGGTCTGGGCACAGTCTTGGTTGTCACAACTGGGGGAGGCGGGGGCAGTCCCGCTGGCCCCTGGCAAGCAGGAATCAGGGTGCTGCTCAGCACCCCACAGCTCACAGGACGCCCCCACCGTGCTGGGTGATGCAGCCCAGACCTCGGGGGCTGAGAAACCACCTCCAGCCTGGGAGACCAGAGGCGCCTGGGCCATCCCCAAACCACGAGGACGCGTCAGCCTCCCTTTCCGGGGCAGGAGGCAAGGGAAGGGGGACCCTGGGACGTTGGGCCTCGTCGTCCAAGCGCGGCATGGCCTCCACGTTCCCGAAAGGTGGGGCGTGGCCCCTCACCTGCCCTGCCCCTCCGCGTCCCCCGCAGGTACAAGGACGGTGCTGACAGCCCCACTGAGGACGGCGAGAAGCCCCGCGTCCTCTACAGCCTGGAGTTCACCTTTGACGCCGATGCACGCGTGGCCATCACCGTCTACTGCCAGGCGGTGGAGGAGTTCCTGAACGGGACTGCAGCGTGAGTCCCCCCGCGGCTCCGGGCCCAGGCGCCCTGCTCTGTCTGTGTGTGTCCTGTCCTTGAGCTCTCGGAGGTTTTATTTGAAATAAGGGTCCTGCTGGCCCCAAGAGTCCGAAGTCTGCAACTTCAGCAAGACCGTGGCGGGGCTGCCTCCAGGCTGCAGGGCCAGACCCCTGGCGGGGCCCGCAGACACGTACCCACCCCCGTCCTGCTGGAGGAGTCCCCTCGGAGGCCAGATTTGGTCGGGGGCAGAGTGGTCAGTGCTCTGAGATCCCAGGCTTTGAGTCCCTGATCATGTAACAGCCCCTGCCCCTGCCCCCGCCCCCGCCCCCACCCCCGGGGCTAGTCTCACAGCAGACCCTTGAGAGTGTCCTTTGTCCTGGAGATGGAGGGAGGCCCCAGGGACAGGAGGTGTGGGTGGGGCGGAGGGAGGCGGGTGAGGGTTGTGTGTGGGACCCCTGCGGAGGGGGAAGCCAGGGTTTTATTAGGATGGGAAGTGTGTATGCTGCTTGACCCAGTTGTTCCTTTCCTGGGAGTTTATCTGGGGGACGTGCTCGCATACATGGTCAAGATGTTGGAATAGTAAGATGCTGGTGACCACCCAGTGTCCTCCAGCAGGGGTCTGATCCCATCAGTCAGTGTAAAACTCTGGTGGAGCCCAAGCAGGGTCCTGAGAACACGGCATCTGATTCCGTGATGTCTATGGGACAGCTTCGGGCACGTGAGCAGAGTGCAAGTGGACTGCAGCCTGGGCATTAAAAAATAACTCTGCACCTGCTTATGCCTTGACTTCCAGGGTTGCAGACGGGGCAGAGAAGCAGGTGGCTGGGAGCAAGCATGAGGCAGGGGACGGGGGTCACTGTGCGTTTTTTGTCCCCCATTCATTCAGAAAAGCGCAAACCACGAAACCTGCAGGCAGAGGTGCAGCCTGGCCTGGGAGGGGGTGGGTGCGGGCTCGGCCCCGGCACCGCGTCTCACCATCCTTTCTCACGCGGCCTCTTAGGTACAGCCCCAAGAGCCCAGCCCTGCAGTCCGAGACCGTCCACTACAAGCGCGGCGTGAGCCAGCAGTTCTCCCTGCCCTCCTTCAAGATCGACTTCTCGGAGTGGAAGGACGACGAGGTAACGAGCCTCCGGGCTGGGCCCCGCGTTCCTGCCCGGGAAGGGGCCCAGTGCAACGGCCTGTTGCTCAGATTCCTCGGTGGTCGGTGAGCGTCAGCTGTGGCTGCTGACCGGGGTCTGGACCCCGCCGGGTGCCTGGACCGTGGAGCGTGGTTGGTCCGGGCGTTGTCTGGACGGGATGATTGCGGCCGTCAGAGGCTCCGTGTCAAGCCAGCCTTGAGTGCTCCCCGGGGGCACCCCCTTTTCTTCCCTTGGTGCGTTGGAGAACCACATCCCTGACTTGTTAGCGTGTGGCCTGGTGGGTCCAGGGCGTGGACACTCGACCTGTCCAGCGCTGTTATCCTGGGACCCTGTCCCCATCTCTCCTTTTCTGATTGTTAACTCAGCTGACACGTTCTTGAAATCTGCTCAGTTTTTCTCACATGTGGTTTTTGTTTGTTTTCGTCACGTTGTGCAGCATGTGGGATCTTTGTTCCCTGACCAGGGATCAAACCTGTGCCCCCTTCATTGGAAGTGCAGAGTCTTAACCGCTGGACCACCAGGCAGGGCCCCTTGCATGCATTTTTTACTGTGATAAAATACAGCATAGGCTTACATCAGTGACAGACGGTTCACAGGGCATGACCGTCAGGCAGTTCTGGGATGTTCTCATCACCTGGAGGGAAGCCCTGCACCCACTCGCAGTCACACCCACGACTCCCTCTGTTACGTGTATTGTTTTTAAGTGGAAACTTCATCAGTCATCACTGTAGCTAGGAAACGGCTCAGCTCTGCTGCAGACAGAAGATTCCGGAAGTTAGGCTGTATGGGGGACAGGGCCAGGCTGTCACATCCTAGCGTGACGTCCCTGCCTGCTGAGGGCGTGGAAGGGGGCGTTGGCAGGTGTTAGGGACATGACAGATACTCCGACACCAAACCCGGGCTTCTCCTTTGTGCCGGGGTTTCTCAGCCTCGGTGCTGTTGACGTTTGGGTCCTGGGGGGACACTGTTCCTGGCCCCCACTTGCCAGGTGCCAGGAGCATCCCTTGCTGCAATAGTGACACTGAAAGTGCCTCCAGACACAGCCAGACGTCCCCTCGGCTGTGAGCATCGTGGCATCAGAGACCTGGCCATCCTCCCTTTTTTAAGCCGTTTTCCCCCAGATTTGCTTATTTAAAGATAATAACAATATTCATGTGTGCTAAGTTGCTTCAGTTATGTTCGACTCTTTGCGACCCCATGGGCTGTAACCCGCAAGGCTCCTCACCATGGGATTCTCCAGACAAGAATACTGGAGTGGGTTGCCATGCCCTCCTCCAGGGGATCTTCCTGACACAGGGATCGAACCCACATCTCTTTATATCTCCTGCATTGGCTGGCAGGTTCTTTACCACTAGCGCCGCCTGGGAAGCCTGTGTACAGTTGGGTGGAATTGACTGTTTTCACAGACGTGTGTGGCTGTCATCACTGCCTTATTAGCTCCAGAACATGATCGTCACCCCCAAGAGAAACCCTCTGCCCATTAGCAGTCCTGCCTCGTTCCTCCTCCAGCCCCTGGCATCCACTTATCCGCTTCCTGTCTCTTCGGACTTGTCTGTCCTGGATATTTCTCATGAACGCAGTTGTACACGATGTGACCTTGCGTGTCTCGCTTCTGTCGCTCAGCATCATGTCTTCAAGGCTTTTCCACATTGTATCCGTATTGTAGCACGTGTTGGTACTTCATCCCTTTGTGTGACCGAATAACGTCCCGCTAGATGGATGCGGCCCTGTTTCGTTTGTCCGCTCACCGGCTGACCAGTGTTTGGGTTGTTTCCATCTTTTGGCTATCATGAATAATGCTGTCGTGAACATTTGCATGCAAGTCTTTGGACGTGTGTTTTCATTTATCTTCGTTTCAGTTTGCTTTTAAAGGCTTTTCAGAGCGGCTTTAGGTCCACACAGAATTGAAGGGCATAGAGCTTTCCCGCTTGGCCCCTGCCACGTGCATGCATTGTTTTCTTTTGTTCCTGCACCACGCTGTGGTCTTTGCAAGTCGGTTACAGGTCTCCTTGTGGCTGGTGGGGCTTCTTCAAAGTTTCCCCACCAGCCCCTCATGGGCCTCTGTTTATTTCAGTCACAGCCACGTCCCCGCCCTGCCCCCCCCCCCCCCCCCCCCCCGCTTGCTTTCCCCGTTTCCCGGTGTCCGTCTGGCCTGGGGCTTGCAGACCCTTGTCCAGTGGCTCCTCTGTGACAGCACAGTCCAGCGGGATTCCCTCTGGCTTTTGTTGCTGCTCCAGCTCCTCACCTAGCCCCCATTTTCCATAAGAAAGCCTTGCCCCCTGCATTAAAAATCCGCATCTCCCAGGACTTCCCTGGTGGTCCAGTGGTTAAGACTCCGTGTTTCCGCCGCAGGGGGGTGTGGGTTCCATCCCTGGTCAGGGAACTAAGATCTCACGTGCCATTTGGCATGACAGAAAAAAAAAAATTTAAGAAAAGAAGCGTCTCCTGCAGATCCCCTGGGTGGGTGGATGCCTCTGTCCTCTCCCCGCGTGCCTGGCTCTGGCTCGTGACTCGTGCTGAGCTCTAGGGAGCAGGAGTTTCAGGGGAGGTGGTCCATGCTCTCTGGGTGCCCACACCCCCTGGGTCCCCCCACCAGGCCCTGGTGTCTGGGGGGCGGTGGCGTCGAGGTGCCCTGTCGTCGTCACCCCAGGCTCCTGGCTCAACCCCAGGCCAGCCAGTGTAGTCACCCTTGGGGTTTGCAGAGTCCGTCTGTTGGCCAGATGTCCCGTGTTGGGCGCTGCCCTGCGCTCCAGGCGCTGAGTGCTCGCGGGAGCACCAGGGAGGCTGCGGGGCCTTCAGAGCCGGGTCTCTGTTGGGACTTCTTTGTTCAGAAGTGGCAGAAGCACCTCAGTCTGGCTTATGAAAACCAGGAACTTACTGGCATCGATCATGAAAAGCTGGATGGCTGCGTGCCGGGTCCCATGTTGGCAGGATGGGTGTGCCCGGCTGAGCTGACCATGCTCTCAGCTGGCGCCTGACACCAGGGGAGATGTGCGGTCCCGGCCTGCGTCCCAGGGTGCTCGGGGGACGTGCCATCCTCTGGCCGTGGCCCACGTGCCCTCCCAGCTCACAGTCTTTGGGTCAGGACCGGGACCAGAGGCTCACATTGCAGAGCCAGACCTGAACCCCCCAGCCGTGCTGTCCGCCCCGTCCCAGCACTGGCTCCCCCCGCACCCCCCCTGCAGCTGGGGACCCGCCAGGCACCCCCCTGAGGCAGGTGTGTTCGCTGAGTGCCTCTGCCCCACGGGCTCCATGTGACGCCCCGCCAGCGCGCAGACACGGGGCCACACCGGGTGGACACATGGGTGGAGCGTGGCCGGCAGCGGGAGGGCAGCAGGGGTCGCAAGCGGGTTTAAGCTGGAGGGGAGGGAAGGCGAGAGGCGCCTCCTCCGCGAGCCCAGACAGCCACGCGGGCTCCTCCACGCTGCGTCCGTCTCTGCTGGGGCCAGGCGGGGCGCTGTTCTTCCCAAGCTTAGACGTGGGGTCGCCACGGCCCCCGGTGCCTGGAGGTGCACCGAGCAGCGTCAGGCAGAGGCCGCCCCACGCAGTCCGGCACCCGTGAGCAGGCGGGGGAGATGGCGGGCCCGGCCGGACCTCACCGGGCGGCGGCCGCGCTGTGACGACGCTGCTGTGTGGGGGGCGCCCGTCGCGGGGGGCTGGCGCCAGCGCTTGTGTTTCCAGGACCGTCCAGGGTCCCTGGTCAGGGGGCCGCGCGGGCAGCGGTGAGGTCCCAGGGCTGGGAGGGCAGGTGAGGACGTTCCAGAAAAGGTGGCGCGGATGTCCCTGGCGGCCCCGAGTTACACGCAGAGCACAGTGTGCCCTTTTACACCGTTTCCCGCAGAGAAGAGCGGGCGTCTGCGCCTGCTTGACCCTGCCGCCTTGACACCCCTGCTGACGGCACCCGCTCCGTCCAGTTCTCTCTGACCACTGTCCCCTCCTTCCCTCCTCAGCTGAACTTTGACCTGGACCGGGGCGTGTTTCCAGTGGTCATCCAGGCCATGGTGGACGAGGGGGACGGTGAGTGGCGTCTCCCCTTCAACACCCCTTCCAGGCCCGAGGACCTTCCCATCCCATCCGTCAGGGGTCGGGGGGGTTCAGTCCAGAGACAGCGCCCGCATGGCTCAGCAGGCTGAGGGTTCCAGGTGCCCCGCTGCCCACGGGCGGTGACGACCCCGCTCCCCCCGGGGCGGAGCCCAGGGCAGACAGGCTGGCAGCTCTGGCGTCCACCCCATGGGGGAGCTGCGAAGGCTGTCAGCACCTTGACCTCGCTGACTGTTGCTTCCCGCTGCTGTGGGCGTGGAGGCCCCCGGTGGGGTGGGCTCCGTGTGCAGGCTGCCAGCTGGGAAAGCACCGTCTGGAGAGAAGAAGCCCAGGGCTGGCTGGGACTGGGGCGGCGGAGGCCGGCTCTGACCATCCTTCTCTCTCTCGGGCAGTTGTGGAAGTGACCGGCCACGCCCATGTGCTCTTGGCCGCCTTCGAAAAGGTAAGTCCCGTCCCACCCCTTACTGCCCTGCTGACCTCCCGTTTACTGTCGTGTCCTGCACACAGTAGGTGCCCAGTGAATGCTGGTGGGGTGGCCGAAGGTCTGTTGTCTGCCTGGCACGGCCCTAGATGTGAGGCTCATGCCCTCCTGAGGGCCCCGAGTTGGGTTGCCCCATGTCGAAAGAGACCATTTGCATGGAAGGATTCACTTATTAGCATTACAAGTGTTTGAGCTTAGGCGTTTGCCCCTTTCTTCGCACCCAGACCCGAGTCCAGGCCCTGGCTGTTCATGTGTTCAGTGTGTGGTGGGGTGCTTCAGGTCCGCCTCACCACCGACTCTGCATGAGGCAGTCTTGGGGTCTCGGGATGGTCCTCTCGCCGGCCCTGTTGTTGCTGGGGGCCAGGCAGTTCCGTGTACCTGTGCACGCAGTGAGCGAGGGCCTGGCGGCGTTGGGACAGGGTGCCTGCTCGCTGAGAGCTCTGCTGCAAGTCGTGGGGCGTGGCCCCTGTTTGCAGAGGCCACGGCCGACCCCCGCCTCCTGTGGGCATCGGCCAGCACCGGGCAAGTTTCAGCATCAGCCTGTGGCCCAGGTGGCCGAGGAAGGGCCCCACAAGGACACTGGGCTCAGACCTGCGTATCCCACGGGACCCAGCTCCCTCAGCCCGTGTGTCCAGCCCTGAGAGCCTCCCGTGCGAGCCTGTCTCCTCCCTGTGATCTGGGCCTTTCCTGGTGCCCCTGGGGGTCAGCCAGCCAGCCTGAGGCCCCTCTGGTGGGGGGCAGGGGCGGCCCTCTCCCTCTCTGGGCCCCCCGGCTGCGCTCCCAGGCCGGCCTGGTTGGAGGGGACGGTGACTGTTTACACATAGGTGTGCTCTGGCCGCTGATGGGCCGTCGCTGGCAGACATTCCGTTCTATGCTGTGTGTTTAGAGCCCCGTGAGAGATGGCCTTATTTTTGGGGTGCGGTATACTAGAAACTTCGCTCAGAACCTACCAGGCTTACAGAAAAGGCCGGTGCTGATCTCGGTGGACTCAGAAGGGGTGTTTGGGGAGCAGGAGCTCAGATCAGGTTCTGTGATTGGTTAACTGTGGGCTTGGAGCAGTGTGCCTCCCCCGATCCCACCCGACCTGCTGTCCTCACGGTTCTGAGCTTCGGGCTTCCTTGCAGACGCGGGCATGTGATGTCCTCGTGCCGTCTTCGCAATTAGACCAGGTTTTCTGAGGGCTGGAGCCGCCTGTCTTAGTTCTTGCTGTCCAAGTGCTGCTGCTTGCTCTAGGGAGGCACCTGTCCATCATCGGGATTAGGCTGATTGTGGTGAACTTGAGCCTACTTGAGCACCAACTACCCAGGGAGAGCTGGGTTTTGTAGATCAGGGTGGAACCCAGGTGGCGGTATATTTAGAAGATTCTCTGGGTAGTTTCGAAGCCAGGCCAGAGGGCTGCTTTGAGAATCCCTGGCCTGACTCTCGAGTCTTCGTGGGGTCTGTCCTTTTTTCAGCCAGGGATGTGGGTTGACCGAGGGTGGGCCTAAGCACAGCCGAGTTAACGTCTGGGTCTTTCTCCCCCCAGCACATGGACGGCAGCTTCTCCGTGAAGCCTTTAAAGCAGAAGCAAATCGTAAGTCCGTCAGAGGGAACACCAGGAGCCCTTTTGAGACACGTGCACACACGTGACCCTATGGTCTCTGTGGGTTATTCTGCGAGGCCACCATGGCTGCTGCGGAATTAGCTGCTGATGCCACTGCAGTGGGCCCTGGGCTTCAGAAGTCAGGTCAGGGTCACCGGGTTTGTCTGCATGTACTGCATACCCACCAGGTGCCTGCATTGACCACTGTAGTCCTGAGTCTTGTCCGGCTTGAACTTAGCATTGTGTAAACGTTAGCTGAATGTGTGAATGGACAGAAGGAGAGAAGGGAGGGAGGGAAGGAAGGCAGAAATTAAGAAAGAAACACTGCAGTCTCCCTCCTTTCTCCTTACAACTTCCTGAAACGACGTCCGTGTTGAATAAAGGCTTGAATCGACTTGATCCACATTTAAGGGAAGGATGGAATCTCTTGGCACCCATGGGAGCTGTAGACCAGTGCAGCCTTTCTTTGGAGTCAGTAGCCCCCTGTTCCAGCCCCAGGAAGAACTGCCCATGGTGGCCTCCCGCTTCGGTGCACTCTGTGAGGACTTAGAGGCCAGGGCCCCCTGAGCTGAGCCTGGAGGCTGGTTTAACCGGGGCCCCCGTGGGGTCTTTCTCCAGAGCCGTGACGATCAGGTTGCCCTTGGGTGCCGCTGCTCAGGCATGTTGGCCACAGCCCGGGGCTGGCAGTGGTCAGTTTTTTAAGAGCGGGCTCGAGAGAACCCTGGCAGGGCCAACGCCTGGAGGTGTCCAGAGGGCAGGAGACCCCCTGGTGGTCTAGGCCTGGGTTGCAGGGGAGCTGACCGGCACACCATGGCTCTCAGGAGGATCTTTGTGGTCCGTGAGTGCTGGGCAGTGCAGCAGCTCGGACCACTTTGAAACGTAGTCAGCTCAAGGCCTGACTCTGGTCAGTGTGGTAGGGGGCAGGGGGTTGACAGGAGGGTCCGGAGTCGTTCTCCTGTGGGGTTGGGCGTGATAAGGTGAGCAGAAGGTGCAGTCACCGGGCCCAGTAGAGCTTGGCTCCACGCCCTCGGGGCCGGGCGGGACCTGGCCGAGCTGTGTCCATGCTTCCTGTGGGCACTTCGCCCTCCCACCTCCAGCAGTGCCTGCTCCCTGGGGGTGGGCGGTTGGACAGAGTAGATGCCCATGCCTGCTCCCAGGAACTGAGCCCGGCCCCTGGGAGGGGGTGTCGGGATGGGGGGTGCAGAGGAGCCCTTGGTGGGGCGGGTGCCCAGAGGCTGCTCTGCCCTGCAGGTGGACCGGGTTAGCTACCTGTTGCAGGAGATCTATGGCATCGAGAACAAGAACAACCAGGAGACCAAGGTGCGTGCTCGCGGCCCCGCGGGTGGGCCAGGCCGGCGTGCCCCCTGCGCTCCCCTGGCAGCTTGGGGGTGGTGACCTGCCTGGGGCTGCCATTCTGGCCAGGGCCCTGCTGTACCTTCCCCTGGAGGCCCCAGGACCCCAGGCTCCATCGCTTTTCCCTCATTCTTGAGTTAGCAGAGTCTGTGGGGTGTTTTGTCCTTTTTCCAGCAAATGTGCTGCCTCTTTCCCATCACTGGGCTCTGGCTGTCAGGGCAGCCTGGGACGCCGGGCTGCTCCTGCCCCTAGACCTCGCCCAGGCGTCCCTGGCCTTTCCCCGCTCACAGCAGCGGCTCGGCTTGCGGTGCGACACCCGTGAGGGGAGCCTGGAGGCCCACAGAGCCCGGGGGTGGGGGCACAGCGCCCCTCAATTGTGGGGAACAGGAGCCCCGAGTCCTCTTGATCTGGGGGTGGATGGGGGCGCCCTGCTCCTCGGTGACCTTCCTCTGCCCCCGGGGACTTCCCTGGGCCCCCTGCAGCCCCCCGGGGGGGGGCCCCAGCCCCTGGCCTCTGGCCTCGGGAGCCAGCGACCTGGGCGCGCATGTCCCGCAGCCCTCGGACGAGGAGAACAGCGACAACAGCAGCGAGTGCGTGGTGTGCCTGTCTGACCTGCGGGACACGCTCATCCTGCCCTGCCGCCACCTCTGTCTCTGCAACTCCTGCGCCGACACGCTGCGCTACCAGGCCAGCAACTGCCCCATCTGCCGGCTGCGTGAGTGGGGCGGGCGGGACGGGCGGGCAGGGCCCCCCGCGGCCATGGCGGCACCTCCGGGAGGTCGGGCCGGGTCCAGGGGGGTTGGCGGCGGATGTGTGTGGGGAGCTGCATGGATGCCATCAGCGACACAGAGCTTCTCTTCGGGAAGTGCGTGGGACAGACTGGGAGCAGTTCAGTCCTGTTCAGTCGCTCAGTCGTGTCCGACTCTGCATCCCCATGGACCGCAGCACGCCAGGCCTTCCTGTCCATCACCAAGTCCTGGAGCTTATTCAGACTCATGTCCGTTGAGTTGGTGATGCCATCCAGCCATTTCATCCTCTGTCGTCCGCTTCTCCTTTCTCCTTCAATCTTTCCCAGCATCAGGGTCTTTTCAAATGAGGCTGATGAGACAAGAAAGTGGAAAGTGTGCTGAGTGTAAACGATCACAGAGTTAAATTTCGTTTCCTGGAGCATCTGGAAAAAATTGTCACGTCAGGCCTAATTCTGAGTGAAACATCCATTCTCTGGCAGAGAATGAACGTCTCCAGGGCGTGGGTCCTTCTGGTGGCTCCAGGGTCCTGGCTCGGTCCCAGTGGGTGCTGGGTGTGGGCAGTGAGGGCGCCCTCCTGTGGCCACTGCAGGACATTTTCTCTGAATAAATAAAGGATGGCTTTTTTTTTTTTTCCCCCAAGTCATAGATGGCTGTCAGGTGTATTGCTGCTTTCAGAAGCAATGCATCAATAGATTTGAAATTCGGGTCGTAAAAATATGTCTTTGTTGTTGCATTTAGTTCTTTGGTCAGTGACTGTTCATTGTAAAGCTCTTCTGTTGGATTGTTTATAGCTACGTTAAAATCATGCTTCAGAGCAGTTAATCAGTATTTATGGTCTTGGGAAACCCTGGCAGAGAAAAAGAAAGTGTGATTTACAAATAGCAAAGCTCAGGGAGTTCCCTGGTGGTGTGGTGGTTAGAGCTGCAGGCTTTCACTGCTGTGACCCAGGTTTAATCCCTGGTGGAAACCAAGATCCCTCAAGCTGGTGCCACGAGGCCTGGCAAAAAAAGTCTAGGGTTTTTTTTGTTTTTTTTTTAATAATGTAAATTGATCTCTGTAACTAAGTGCTCTTTGCCCTATGAAAGCGTTTAGCATATTCAAAAACCTAACTCAAATTCAGTAAGTCTGTAGTAATAACATGTCATTTTACTTTGTTTCCCAATTGGATTTACTTTTGTTTTTAGTGAACTGCGTTCCAGCTTAAAGGCATTCGTTGTTTGTATATACAGTCAGTGGAGACCAAGGCATTCTGAAGGCCTTTGTTGTGATTAAATCCTTTGTTTCGTTTTCGATAACAAGTATTATTTCATGACTACCGTACTTTTCACAAAACAAATTCTTCATCCACCTGAAAACTAAAATAGAATGGTGGTCATCTGTTTTTGGCTGTATTGGACTGACTGCAATTCCTCCTGCCTGAGAATCATGGTCTTTAGGAAGTCATTCTTACTATTCAATTCCAAGAAGCTGGCATTGTTTCCCTTGAGCCTCTGGCTTCCTTCCGGGAGGAATCTACTTACATTCTTTCCCATCTTTTTTCTTCCCCCCTCCCTTAACCTCAACCGGGGCCTCTCCTCGGATCACTGCGGGGTTGGGTGGTCGTCAGGGTCTCGAAACTCAGCAGGGCTCAGGGTGCGGCTCCCACCACCTGAACCCATCCCTCCCCCGCAGCGTTCCGGGCTCTTCTGCAGATCCGGGCGGTGCGCAAGAAGCCGGGGGCCCTGTCCCCCATCTCTTTCAGCCCCGTTTTGGCCCAGAGCATGGACCACGACGAGCATTCTGTGAGTGCTGCTTCCTTCTGTGTGGGGGCTGGAGAGGGCGGGGGTGGGGCCTGGATGAAGCCCCGCCCACTGCACAGGCCCCGCCCTCACGTTCGGACAGCGAGGCCTCCCGGTGGGGCTGGTGGGTCAGCAGGGGGTTACCCAGGCTCTGCCCTTAGGGCCGTGCCCTGCCAGCTCTCGGGGCCCCTGACTCACCTGCCTGCTCCCGGGGGGCAGCGGTGAGGCTGAGTGGGGGGGTCGGCCCAGGCCCCATGAGAGCCGGCTGCCGCGAGGAGGTTGCTTCTGCCAATGGCGAGGTTCTGAGAGGCAGGTGTCCTTTGGCTGAGTCTGAGTCGTGGTGTCGTCACCTCTTCTCCACCACACCAGACAGCCAGGGGCGTTGTGTGCTCTTAGGAAGGGAATTCCCCTCCGAAGCGTGGCAGTGGCACGTCCTCTCCTGCCCCCTGCTCTCCCAGCCCCTGCCCAGGCACACGGGAGGGCACCCACAGCCGTCCCCTGCACCTGCTCCTGAGGAACCGGGGATCAGACCTTGCTGCAGCGGATGAAGGGAGGCAGATCAGGCTTCAGGGGCCTCCAGAGAGACGGGAGGGAGATGTAGAGGGTGGGGATGAAGGTGGACAAGGAGGTGCTGAGAGAAGGGCAGGCGGAGGAGCAGAAGGGACGTGGAGAGACCCACGGAGGGGGCAGTGGCCCGGGGGTTGCCAAGGGGGCCAGAGGGGCAGAAGGAAGGAGAACGGACATGGGGCAGGCCCGGTTCTCGAGTCCCCTCTGACTTCGGGCGTTGTCGGCCTGTGAGCCTGTTTTCTTGGCTCTCGATTGAGTTGTTTGGATCCCGTGATTCTCAGAGGCCCTGCTGACGCTGTGAAAGGGTAGGAGCCAGTGCCGTGCGGCTTGACGTCCCCACAGACTATGGCTGCCCCGGGCCCCAGGTGTGACTGATTCTGCCCCCGTGTTTGAGAACCGGGCCAGTGTGTAAGTCTGAGAATCCTCCCGGAGACTCAGCTTTCTGGCTTCTCTTTCAATATCTGAAGGTGCCTTGTGCCCCTGGATGAGGGGCAAGGATTCCCCTTGGGGGGGTGCCTGTCTCCCCACTTCTCCGGGACAGCCACATTGTTTATCCTGCGAGGCCCGTGACCACCAGGGCTTCCAGCTCTGAAACCAGGCACTCAGCCATTTAACGGTGGACTTGATTTCAGAGCAGTCAGCACTTTCTCCAGCACGGCCCGTGTTTCTGGTGGAGAGAACGGTGCTGAGGTTCCCACCTCAAGGCAGGAGTCTGGCTGCTCCACAGAGGGTGGGCTTGGGCAGTGTTCTCAACTGCTGCTGCTCCCGGTTTCTGCCCTGGTGTCCGAGGGTCAGGTGGGACCCTCCCACGTTTGTCCCTCTTGTCTGGAGGGCCGAGGTGCCTCCCACAGTGCAGGGCAGCCTGGTTGGTTAACCTCACACGCTCTCACGGGCCAGCGCCACCCTCTTTGGAGGTTATGATCCCATGTAAGTGGCCCTTGTTCTCCACCACCTTCCCTGCACGAGCAGTTTTCGTGAAGCACCAGAGCCCACATGAGCCGTTTTCTGCAGTGAGTCTTCAGATCAGCACCGAGTGGGAGCTATCGGGGGCTTGAACTCCCATCTTTAGGAGTCAGGCTTGGCAGTGAGTTGACCTGGCTGTGTTGGGGCCTGCAGGCCCCTTCTCTGTGCCCAGCTGGGCCCCCTCATGGGGAGTGCGCGGCCACTGTCATGCCAGGACCTGCTGCTCGTGGCGGGGTGGGGGGACCCAGACCAGAAGTGGCCTCTGGGGAAGGGACCAGCTCCTCCAGTGCCAAGAGGACACGCAGGCCCAGCCTACCCAGGTCCCAAGGTAGAACCCGTGCTCGGCCAGATCTCCATGGCTCATAGGCTGGTGGAGTTTGCAAAGCGCTGGTGCCTGGCCTGCATGGAGGCCTGCAGGCCAGGGAGACCCCGTCCAGCCCGCTCGGTGCCGCACGGGGGGTGGCAGCGGTTAAACCTATGATTTTTATCTTGACAGTGTCCCTTTAAAAAATCAAAGTCGCACCCCGCCTCACTGGCCAGCAAGAAACCTAAAAGGGAAACAGTAAGTGTGTCTGGCCCCGTGGCTTCGTCTCTGCCCCGTGCCCTGATGACTGCACAGTGACAGGAACGGGGAAGCACTTTCATCCCAGGCCAATGTGTCCAGTTCCTTTAACCTGTCAGACCCACTCTCCCCAGTCCCGGCGTGCCCGCCCAGGAAGGGAGTTTTGTGGAACAAGCAGAACACAAGGTCTGTCGGCACGAAGCCCCGGGCACCCCTCTCGCCAGCTCTGCTTCCTCCCGAATGCCCTGTTTCCCTTTTTTTTCTTGCTGGCAGTGGAATGACGTCAGAGGTGGAACTAAGGCTGCCGCTCTTGTTGTGAATGCCCCTCACGCTTGCTCACCCTGCACCCCCGCTCTGCGGGCCGACACTTGTATTTCTCTCATTTTTCCTGCATCTCGGGGCGGGCGCAGGCGGGGGCTAGCTAGTGAGTAGCCACCGGGCCAGGCCTTTGCCTGGACCCCCCCTTTGTAAAAGGCAGAGAGTCGGGTTACCCAAGGGTCAGCTTAGACACAGAGATTTCCTTTTCTCCCTGTTCCAAGGGGCGAGGGAGATCAGTGTAATAACTTGAACCTGCAGGCGGCCTGGGAGCAGATGCAGGCGCCGTGGTCCCAGGTGGCCTGGAGGCGCCTGCTGAGGTCAGGAAGCCCCAGCCGGCTCCTCTGCCCGCCCAGCCCCCAGGGTCACCCTGTCACCTCCCACAGGTCAGCAGGGCAGGCAGGGCTTCGAGGAGAGCGCGTTGCCCTTCACCTCGCTCACAAGCTGACGGCAGATGGATGTCCCACCCGCGGCCCTGGCGGCCCAACTAACATCCCCGGTGCCTGGCCTCCCGCTCCCTTCGCCTCTAGCCCTGAACTTAGCCTGTTGGTTGGGTCCTCCCAGCACGGGCAGTGCCCGTCTTGGGCGTTATTAGACTCCTGGGAGCCTGTGTCGGCCCAGCAGCTCTTGTGCAGCCCTGGAGAGTCTCCGGGCCCGACCGCTGTGTCGGGCGGGTCCTCGTGGCCTGGACCACACGCTCCCAGCGGCTTCTCCCGTGGCTTCGCTGCCTTCTTGCTCCGGCCCTTTCTCTTACTAACTGCGTGCCCCCCCCCCCCCGCCCCGCGCCACCGGGCGGGAGCAGAAAGCCAGGTAGGGGCTGGCCGAGGCCAGGGCCGGGGCCGGGGCGGGTGGCTGATGGCTGATGGCCGGGGCCGGGGCGGGCGGCCTTCTGGGCGTCTTCTCTGCCTCCATCCTGGGTGCCACTTGGACACTTGGGACGTCCAGGGCCGCGGCTGATGGCCGAGGCCTCCCTGGGCAGGGGTGCCCCCCCCGAGGGCGGGGGATGAGACCCTGGAAGGTGGAGTGGACGGGGGATGGTCAGAGAGCAGGCTCCGGGGAGCAGACCGTCTCAGGGGCACCATGGGCAGTGGGCGGGCGCCTGGCCAGCTGGCCCCTCACCCCCACCTCCCTCCGCAGAGTGCCGACAGCATCCCGCCCGGCTACGAGCCCATCTCCTTGCTCGAGGCACTCAATGGCCTTCGGGCGGTGCCCCCGGCTGGCCCCCCGGCCGTCCCCACAGCTCCCCTCTACGAGGAGATCACCTACTCAGGCGTCTCGGACGGCTTGTCACAGGCCAGCTGTCCACTTGCCGGGATCGATCGGATGGTGGAAAGCAGCCTGCAGAAGGGCAAGCCCCGGAGCAAGTCCCCCGACAGGTGAGCCCGGCGGGCAGCCCCCTGCGGCAGGCGTGCAGGCCTGCCAGCTGCACCTCCCCACCCCGCCCGTCCCCCACGAGCCGGCCCGGCCCGGCCCACTCAGCAAGCACAGGATCGTCATCGCCGATGGGGGCCACGTGCCCGGGGTCCAGCCTCGGGTCATTCATGGATCCTCCAGGCCACCCATGGAGATGCTGGTGACCAGCCCTGCTGGGCGCAGTTTTTCTCAGACGCTCGCTGGTTTTCTAGAGGAGTATGAAGGGGGCACAGGTTCTGTAGAACTCCCACGGCCCCAGCGCCGTGGAATAGCGGAGGCCCCTGGGCCTGTCCTGCTGCCACCCAGCACTCCCTGCGGCCTCTGCCGTCATGGTTCCCTTCCCCTCTGCAGACGGGCGTGTGTGGGCCTTGGGGGGCCTCCTGCGACGCGCACCCTGGGCCTGGTGCACTGGTGCTGGCCCCCTGGGTGTCAGCGGCCCCCCGGGGCTGGCTTGGTTGAGCTCACCCACCTGTCCTCTGTCCCCAGCACCCTCCGTTCCCCGTCATCCCCCATCCACGAGGAGGACGACTCGGAGGCTCTGCCCCCTCCGGGGGGGGCGGGGCTGGCGCTGAGCAGCTCCCCTGAGGTGAGGCCCCCGCCTTATCCGTCTGTCCCCGCTGCCCACCTGTTGGCCTCCCCGCCCCCGCTGTTCCCTCACTCAGCGACCGTGACCGCCGTGACCTTCCCTGGCCTCAGTTTCCTCGTCGGTGGGGTGGGCACTGGTGGGTGAAGGCCGTGGAGGCCCCCGTATCCGGGGCCCGGCTGTCAGCACCAGGGTCCACGCACGTCTCCCCTCTGTGTCTTAAGAGCTTCATGACGGAGACGGTGGATGAGACTTCGTCGGTGAAGCAGGGTGAGTGCTCCTGGCCTGAGCCCTGCCGTGCTCCCTGCCTGCTCCTCTGAGGGTTCTCGGAGCCGTGCTGGCTGACCACACACTGCGGGTCCTGCACGGTCTCCTGGAGGACAGCCCTCGGCCGCCCCGGTTTCCCTCCCTGCCTGTCCTTTAGTGGCAGCAGCTGTTTTTTCTCTTCTGCCTGGACGGTTCTGCCGTGGTGGGTGCCCCACGCTCTTGGCCTGGGTCTCTGCCTGTCCCACCGGGGCAGGGACCCCCCAGGGCCTCTGGGACTCGGGCCTGGTGTGGCCGATGGCCGGGGGGTGTGCACAGCTCAGCCAGCCCCTCCCCTGCATGTCCCCCATGTCCCCGTGGGAGTCCAGTGCTGTTGTTTCCTGCCCACCGCTTAGACAGGCCCCTCTGCCCCTCAGGCCTCAGCTTCACCCCCGGGTGGTGGCAGCTCCTTCCTGCCTGCACACCACGCTGGGACCGGGGGCCTCCAGGGCCCTGTTGTGGGATCCAGGTCCCTCTGAGGGCCCTGCAAGCGCAGGGCAGGTCCCCGTTGAGGTCTGACGTGTAAGGAGGAGGATCCACCCCTCACGTGAACGCCCCGCTGTGCGCCTGGAGCTGTGTGCCCCCCTGCCCATCCTCGAAGATAGCAGACGGTTTTTTCAATGTGGGCACGGGATGTTTTTCTGATAAAAACAAAACATAGCTCCATGCTGTGTGGGGGGTGGGCAGGAGAAAAGGAAAAAGAAAGAAAGCATAATACACGATCTGCTTCTGGGTCCTGGGAGAGCAGGGGGGAGTTGGGGTTGGGTCTGGGCTCCAGGGGATGGCTGGACCACCTCCTGCCTGCCGGCCCCCCAACCTGCCCCGTCCCCCGCAGGGAGCCGCGTGCCGTCCATCGAGAACGTCCTGCAGGACGGCAGCCCCGAGCCCTGTGGCCGCAGCCAGCCCGGCGCACCTGCAGACGTCTACCTGCCAGGTAAGGGCGCCGCGCTCAAGGCCAGGCGGGGGCACCACACCTGGGGCTGGACAGGGGGCGCCGCACCTGAGGCTCTGGAGTCAAGATGAGTGAGCAGCCTCGCTCCTTCCTGGGGGCGGGGAAGGCCTTCCTCTCTGCCCCCACCTGCACCTGGAGCTGCACCGCCTGGAGCCACACTTTGGGCATCAGGGGAGCTGAGACAGGCTTCGGTGTAGAAGGGCCTCTTGTCCCGGGGCTTCCGGCCGAGCGGCAGCCTGTGCAGACAGAGGGGGCCTGGAGGTCGGGGTCCTGGAAGTTGGGGTCCTGGTGTGAGGAAGCAGGGCAGCAGGTGGCTCACCGACACACACAGGCCCCCCCCAGAGGAGCCCATGGGCGAAGCTCTGTTAGAGTGACTCCCGAAGACCTGGTGTTTCACCAGGATGAAAACCTGGTCGGGCGGGGTGGGGAGGAGGGGTCAGGAGAGATTCCGCTTCCGGGAGCCTTGAGCGAATTCTGATCCTGCCGACGACCTCTCGCCCCGGCCCCTGGGTGCCGCTGGGGGACACCCCAAGCACACTCAGCCAGTGCAGGGCCGCCCCCCACTTCTGCCCCCTCGAGTGGCCCACAGAGCTTCCAGGCGTCTGCTGGGCTGGCCAGGCCCATAGTGGGCCTGGGACCTCTGGCGGTCAGGACTCCCAGCGTGTCTCAGACCTCCTGTGGACCTCGGCAGCTGCGGGGTGGGGAGAGCGGCAGAGGCCACCAGCTGGACAGCGGCGGGGGGCTTGGTTCTCAATGCCAGAGCAGAGCGGGGCCCACACTGGGCTGTCCTGCTCCTGGGGGTGGGCCGGGGCCCTCGGGGACCCACCGCCTCTGTGGCCGCCTGCCCCCACGCCGCTGCCTGTCCCGCGGGCCGCTTCCCTCAGCAGAGACCCTGAGCGTCTCCCACGGCGCTGTGTGGCTTTAGGAATGTGAGCCCCCACACGTGGGAGGTGCCTTCTTTTCAGCCACATGGCGTCCTCTGGGTGGAGGAAGCGTGGTTTAGTGGCTCTTAGTGTAACCTGTCAGATGGAATAAAGGGGGGGAGCAAATCCTTAAAACGGAGAGACCCGTGACACCCGGCACCCTAGCAGCCCTGCAGGCTGGAGGCCCTTCCTGGGCCCCAACACGCCCAGCCCTTCGTCCCTGCCGCGCCCAGCCTCTCGTCCCTGCCGGCTGCCCGCGTCCTTCCCTGGTCTGGCATCCTCTGCCTTAGCACCAGGCCCGGGCACGCTCTCAGGAAAGGCACTTGGCACCTCTCTTCACGCGTGTGTGGCATTTGTTCCTATCACACCCCGCCCCTGTGCCTGCACCTCATCCCCCACCGGCGCCTCTGCCTGGAGTGTGTGGCCCCTCCGCGCAGCCTGCTAACTGAGCTTCCATCTCTCTCCTCCTCTGGCAGCCCTGGGGCCCGGCTCCTGCTCCGCTGGTTTAGAGGAGTAAGCCGGTACGTGATGCCTTCGCACGTGGGGCGGGGGGCTCCTTCCTGTCCTCCAGGCTGCTTCCACATCCGTGTCTTCTCTGGGGCCCTGGATTCTGAATCCAGAGGCTTCTGAAGGCCACAGCAGGGGTGCTCCAGAGAGGTGGTCCTGCGGAGGGAGGGTCCGACCAGCCTTTGGAACCGGAGGACTTTCCCTCTGGACCCGGCGGCCCAGTCAGGCTCTTGTAGCCTCGAGGGTCCCAGGATCAGTGACTCAGCGCTGGCCAGGACCCCGCTGTTGCTGACAACTGACCTGTCCCTGCCCCCACCTCTGGACTCTCCTAGAACACCATCGTGCTCTGGGGTCAGCCTGTGAGTGGTCTCCCCACCTCCCTCTCCCCGGACAGCCCAAACAGACATTTTACTGAAAGCCATTCTGAGAGTACCCCCAAAGGAGGACACACCGGGGGACCCCTGCCCCTCCTCCAGGTGACATCAGCCCGCTGGGAAGTCTGGAGAGAGAGAACTTGGCGCCTTCGATGGCCCAGCGTTTCTAGATGAGTGTGGTAGGGTCACGCCCCAGGCTGTCGGCCTTGGAGGACTTGGCGCCCGTCCCGGTCAGCCCTGCTGCCCCAGACTGTGGGGTCCGCCTTCGACGACATTCCTCCCAAAGACCTCTCTCACCTTCGTTGGTCGCCTTTTGTGACAGCACTTAGCCTCAACTGAAATAGGACCTGGCATTTATATGACATTGGCCCCAGCCTCATCCTTGGGAGATAGTGTTGCCATTTGGGTAAAACTTCCAGAAGCAGGAAACGGGTCAGACTCGGCTGCAGAGAACCGTGTTTGTCCTCTGGGCTGCATGGCAGAGCTGGCTTCCCATGTGCAGCCACGGCTCCTAAGAAGACAGTCCCCTCGCCGGGTCCCTGAGGGTCTGTCGCTGGCCCTGGGGGCAGCTGGGTTTGCCCCTGAAGCCGCCAGGGGCCTGCGAGGTGTGCCGACCCCCAGGCACCAGTGCCCCAGGTGGTCTGAGCACGTGGTGGGGCTCACAGCACCCGGGGGGTGCCTCCCAGGGCGCCCCAGGTGGCCTGAGCACAGGGGGAGCTCACAGCACCCTGGGGGTGCTTCTCGGGGCGCCCCGGGGTGGCCTGAGCACTGGGCGAGCTCACTGCACCCTGGGGGTGCCTCCCAGGGCCCTCTGCGTGTGCCCCACCCACCGCTGGAGGCGGGGGCTGAGTTCTGGCCAAACCCAGTGGTGACGGGATGGTGGCCCGGCAGAAGCAGGAAGCTCAGCGCCGGCGTGGGCAGGGTCCAGTGGCGGGCACCCCTCAGCTGGCTGAGGTTGCCAGGCCCGCCGTATGCCCTGCCGTGGACACTCTGGGCAGTTGCGGGAGCCCAGAGCCCGTGGGCCGCCCTCTGACCCTCACCCTCTCGCCCCGCAGGATGGTCCACCTCCATGGAGACGCCCTGCAGCCTCCACGCCACTGGGCACCCCCGGCCCCCGCTTGGTGGCCCCAGCCCCGACCCCAGGGCCGCTGAGCTGACCCCACTCTGAGAGTCGGGCCCGGCTGGCAGCACAGAGCTCCCAGCTCCGCTGAGACCCCAGCGCGACCCTGGCTCCTCCAGTCTGCACGGCGGTGTGGTTCCCAGCTCTGAGGGGCTGTGTGACTGTCGCCTCCACCAACCCCCCTTTTCTGTGGTCGACGTGTTTGCCGATGGTGCACAATGAAGGACGGTGGTTTTCTGCTCCGGGGGCCGAGCTCCGGGGCTCCCCCCACACACCCTGGGGGGCTGGTCGCCCACGAGAAGCCTGGATGGGCCTCCACAGCCCCCAAGCCCTTGAGGGGCCTGTCAGCGCCAATGAACGCGGCACAGCGGAGAATTCGGTGGCGGACCAAGCGCAGCCGCGACAGGAAACGCCGCGGGACTCTGGGAGGGAAGGAAGCGGGGTCCGAGTCTCAGCCAATGAAGGAAACAGTGCCTGTTCCGCCACCATGCATGTGGCCTCCCCCTCCCCACTGGCCCCGTGGGCACCTCCCTCAGCTCGGCCGGCCGGGCAGCCAGACCCACCATGGGCCCGGCCACTGGCAGTGGTTCTGTCCGGGCCCTTCTCTGAGCCCGGCGCCGCCTTAGAGGCAGCTTCGCCCACCTTACTGGGCCCTCCAGTGGGGGCTGCATGTGCCCGGGGCACTGCTGCTCCCCTGTCCCCCCAGGGGGGCGTGACAGGCCTCTGGGCTTCTCTGCTCTCTCTGCCATGTAGACCTGACTCACCGTCCCTCCTTGATTTCTTCAGTTTGGGGCTCCTTGTGGTGGGACCTGCCTGGGGGTTGTGGGTCCCATCTGAGGTGACCTCATCTTTTAAAGATAACGTTTTCGGGGCAGCGGAAAGGCCGAGGGGGCACTTGGCCTTGGTGCCCCGGACCAGCTGCCCGTGCAGGGCCTTGAGCCTGGCGGGTGGGTCTCAGCACCCAGGAGCTGACCCTCAGCCAGCAAGAGAGGGCCCGGCTCCCTGCAGAGCTGCCCCAGGGAGCACGGTCCTGGGGCAGCCGGCAGCCCCACCCGGGGCCCTTGGGGTGGATGCCCCCTTTTCTCTCCGGTCCAGCCTGTGAGCAGAGGCCACGGCTGGGGCAGCCTGCCCCAGCCCCTTGGCTCCCTGCGTGCCCTCCCCTCTTAGCCACCGTGTGCTCCTGGGCGCACACACAGTGATGCACACACACGCACACCTGCACACAGGCGGGGAGGCCGCGTCCCGCTGCCCACTCCTCTCGCGGTCAGCACCCCAACCTCGCACCATCTGTGTTGGTGTCCGTGATTCTGCAGGACAGGCTGCAGACTGGCCTGTCTTGGACTCTCATGTGCTGTCACTTGACGTACTCTGATTGGCTAGTTTTTGCCCGTTTTTACTGTATATTTATAGTAATAAAACCACGCAGCAGTGGCCCGCCTGCTCCCTCCGTGCCCAGCCCCGCCGGGCTCGGGTCCCCTCTTGGGAGGCTGGGTGGCAGCCGGCAGCTGCCGCCCCTGCGGTGGCGTGGGAGACCGCTCGTGGCTGCAGCCCCAGTCTAAGATGCCAGCGACCTCCAGCTTCCAGGAGGCCATGAGGACAGCTGCTGTTCCTCTTCTGGCCATCACTGTGCTGACTGTGGGCCTGGAGCAAAGTGGGGAGGGACCCTCAGACCTCAGCCCTGCCTCCTGAGCGGCTGGCAGAGTCCTGGGCCCCGAGGTATTCCAATGGCGTCAGCGTACCCATCTCCCGTTCATCCCCCTGCAGTGAACCGAGTGCCTGCTGTGCCAGCAGAGGGCGAAACGGGCAAGGCCCCCCGGAGCCCGTCTCCTGTCTGAGATGCCGCACAAGTCATCCTAGTCTTTCCCATGTCTGGGGACCGTTAGGAAGCGAGGTGGCAGGTCATGAGATGGAACGGGTTTAACCCGTGGCTGGGGAGGGCTTCACCGAGGAGACATTCAAGCCGAGCCCTGAAGGCTGCCCCCCAGCAATCAGCCCAGCAGGGACATGGGCCTGGAGAGTGGGCTTGGCCTGTCTGCTTTGAGTGGCCAAAGCGTCAGTGTTGGGGGTGTGGGGTGCAGTTTCAGTCTCGGAGCGATCAGAGGCTTCTCAGCAAGGGAGCAGGTTTCTCCAGCCGTCCTGTGGGAGTGGATTTCTCCAGCGTCCTGTGCGTCTCCTGTGGGGAGAGGGGCAGGTTTGACTGCCAGGCTGCTGGCCCAGCCGGAACCCCCTGCCTGGTCTCGGCAAGCCTCCCAGTAGGGGAAGGCTGGGCCGCGGCATACCCACCGCTGGCGCTGCCGCTGCCAGCCTGGTCCTGGCTCCCCTGGGCCCTCTGACTCTGGCAGCCTGTCCTTGCTCCAGGCAAGGCTGTCACCCTTGGTCGTGCCTGGTTGGGTATGATCCCAGCGTGGGAGGACACTCGGTGTCACGTGGAGTCCTGCATGGGCTACACTGACCCCGGACGAACCCACCTCCTTTGTTAACCTGTGTGCAGACTTGGAGGCAGCGTCCTCTCTGAATGGGCCCCTCCTCATGATGAGCTCTCCCTTCGAACCCAGTAAGCTGCCCCATTCGGGCCCTGACTCCGGCAGAGGGCCTCGGTCGGGGAGAGCCTCTCTGTTGCTGTTCAGTGGCTAAGTCACGCCTGGCTCTGTGACCCCATGGACTGCAATGCGCCAGGCCTCGCTGTCTCCTGAAGCCTCTCTGTCGGGTCCCCACCCCTGACATCTCCCGATGGAAGCCCACTGTGGACCCAATGCAAGTGAGTTTCTGGCAGGTCCTGCCAATCCTCGCCTGCCCTCTGGCCCTCTCCTGCTCAGTCCCGCCCAGGGCAGCCTTCGCTGTGCCCGGGGCTTGCCCTCACCGCACAGCTCTCCCGAGTGCAGGCTGCGTTGCAAATTGGTGTTCACCGTGGGAGAGAAATGAAGCTGGGGCCAGCTGGTGGAGTGCATGACCCCACAAGCTCCAGGGGAGCCCCACTGATGCTGCTGAGCCCTAGCGATGACCTCCTCCAGTACTGACACCAGGTCAGCAACTTGGGCCCCCTTCTGCAGGCTTTCTGTTGTGGACGCTGGGTGGGAGACAGCGGGAGTCTAGCGGGGGGGATCCTGGCTCTCACTGACTGCTGGGTGCCCTCAGACAAACCCCCTTCATTTGAGCCCCAGGTCCCCCCTTGTTGAATGGGGGAGACTTTGTTTCCTCCAACAGTACTTGGCATTGTGGAGTCTGACTTGGAAGGTACTTGGTGTGCTGGGCTTGTTGCAGGAAGGGGTACCCCTTCCAGGGCCTAAAAGTGGGCTCTTGTGTAACACGCGGAAATGAACTGTCTGAGGAGACACTCGTGCTGACAAAGCAAGAGATGTTACTGGGAAGGGGCGCCTGGGCGGAGAGAAGGAGGGTGAGGGAAGCCAGGAGGACTGCTCTGCGTTGGGGCTCACAGTCTCCAGTTTTACGGTGATGGGATTAGTTTCTATGTTGTCTTTGGCCGATCGTTCTGATTCAGAGTCCTTCCTGATGGCACACACGTCGTTCAGCCAAAACGGATGCCTAAATTACCACAGCCTGGTGTTATCCATCCCATAATTGTGGGAGATTTTTTTCCTTTGATGAAACTTTGCTTGTTGCTCTGATTGAGCAACAATAAACTCAACATTTATGTTGAGCAACATAAACTTATGGCCAGGGTCACAGCAGGCATTATTGGCCAGATGAGGGGATCCCATCTAGTAATTGTCAATAGTGACCTGGATCTGACTATAATTTTTCTTTTCTTTTACAGTAAGTTTTCTCAGGGTCAACCAGTTAGCGCCTTGGAGTAGAGAAATTCACCAGGGTAACCCAGAACTAGACACAGATAATTGGCCACAAACCAACAACTGAATTGTTTCTAAAACCAACATAGGGTCAGGCCTATGATAGAAAAGCATTTGATTTATATGCAAAGGTCTAAGAAGTCAAGAAAACATTTAAAATGATCATACTAGTCAGGTCCAGCATCTTGGACAAGCTGTCTTATCTCTGATGCCATCTTCTCGTCCTAGGTAGTGCAGTTTCTCCTCTGTTTGAGCATCATTTTAAGGTGAGATCAGATCAGCTGTCCTCTCTATAGACCAGTCCACTGTAGGGGTCTTTGGAAGTGGGAATTAGCCTGAGTCAATTTCCCTGTGCATAAGCTAGTTAAAAGTACCTGATTAAAAGGTCCTTCCATCCAGGTTGGAGACAGTCCCTTAAACTATGCCCTTCTTCAGTCCTGGTTGCAGCTCATGAGGCATATGATCTTTATCCAAAGATAGATTACTGAGATAAGCTTCAGAAACAAACTTAGGGTGTTCTTTAGGAATTCAATTAAATTTTACATTAATATCACATAACAGCAAAGAACTATCCAGGAAATGAGTCTTATTAGATACAGACCTCTATTAACAAACTGGGATTTAACATTTATCGAAACATCTTTTTCTCCCTAAAGTAACCCTCATTTTTATCAAATATAACCAAATTAAGGCTAGTTTGTTTGCAAAATACTTATGCTCTCAAAAATTTTGCCTAACTTGGTTTATATGACCAATTGAGCATAAACTTTTTTGCTTTGTTGTTAAAGTCTCAGACTGAGCTTTTAAAATAAAACCTTTCAGGACTGGGAAAGTCATGCCAAAAGCTTACTATCGATTTCATCTAACAAATCTAGGCGAATTCTTCCCTTTTCAAGGTCTTAAAAATTCCTTGAAATTTCTGTACCTGTTAGTGAGGTAACTTTCCTAACTCATCTGATAAAGTTACTAGAAACCAAGAGTGTCCAATCTCTCGAGGAGTCAGAAAATATAATTATTTGTTTGTAACATCTAATTTTACCAAATTATTGTCATAATTAGTTTGAGGGGAAGGTTTCCCCTACTCCCCAAAAACACAGATTCAAACCTTTGATTTTTTCAGATAGAAACCATAAAAGTTAAATGCATATTCGCTGGTTCATTCAGTCCTTTTGTTAACTTCTGTGAAGCCATCAGGCTTCTCATTAGAATACTAGGACATGTCAGAATGTTAGGAACTCCATGTAGTGTCTAGGATATCTATATTAGTAATATTTACCATATGTTATATCCTGTGAGGATTTATTACTTATTTGATAATTCCCATGTAACTTAACCAACCAAATAAACACAATTAGTTTAATATCTCTCTATAGGATGTTTCAGAGGTGCTCTGAAGCACCCAAAGTTAACTAGAGATCAAAAGAACTTCAACAGAATTTGATTTAGGAAGTTTTGTCAAACCGAAAGGGTTTAGAACATTTGGTCAGATTCAGTCAGTGCTGATGGGTGTATCATTTAGCTTGCTGAAAATGTCACAATGGGTGTGTATACCAAGGCTCAAGGTCTAGTGAAAGTGGGCTCTGTCGTATTGGACCTAGTTGGCTCTAACCAGTTTTCCTATGGCTGTGTCATTCCTAACAAAATCCGTTTATCCAACTAATTGTGATCCAGTTTTAGAAAACCTGATCATGCATAACTCTTTTCAGTATTTTCATACCTTCTACTGAAAACACATCTTAGGTTCCCTAAAGTATTTTCCACAATGAGGTCCATTTCTTGTTGACAAATTTTTATCAGAATACATTCTCTTTGACCTCTAGTAAACCTATAGGAAGCTCCAATACTTTGGCCACCTGATGCAAAGAACTGACTCATTGGAAAAGACCCTGATGCTGGGAAAGATTGAAGGCAGGAGGAGAAGGGGACGACAGAGGATGAGCCAGTTGGATGGCATCATGGACTCAATGGACGTGGGTTTGAGCAAGCTCTGGGAGTTGGTGATGGACAGGGGACCCATGGGGTCGCGAAGGTTTGGACACGACTGAGCAGCTGAGCTGACTGAAACCTAGGCACAGCAGAAGTATTATACTTGCTGATAGGTGTCTGTGTTACCAGGTATTAATACTGGATATTTCGCAGTTCACCTGAACCTGGAATTCATTTAATTTAGAATTATCTGATTTGTAAGCTGCTTACTTTTCTTTAAGTCAATTAAATAGAGCTCATTTACAAATTAATCTTAAAAATCTTAGCCAGAAACAAAGACATACCAAGATATACACATATTCAGACAGATAAAAGGCAAGATCTAGATTCATTTTCTAAACTTAGTCATGAATTAGACATTACAATATAAAATTCACTAGTTTATAAATAATGGAATATATAAATTTTTTAAAGACTTCTTCCCATTTTTCCTCAGTCTCAGGAGTTAGAGATAGTCTAGATAAGTGTTCTGAGAACCCTGGTCTCAAGGCACAGGGAAAGAAAATCAAGTTCTAACAAAATGGCAGCATGTCTAAAACAAATGGTGGCCCCACAAAGCAAGATGGGCATCACAAGCCAGAACACGGAATATAAAACACACACATAGACCTGGCAGTTCTCAAACACTCCCTTAGATACAAGATTGCAGTCTCTAAGAAAACCTCCTATAGAGACACGGGACTTCAGATCCAAGTACTAACAGAGTAAATGAAAATATCTCAGGTCTTCAAAGATTTCAAAGGGAGGAAAGGAAGCCAGGTTGAAAGAAGAGCGGGGAGGAGGCAGGAGAGAAGGGCAAAAGGGGTGGCCTTACAGACGTCTCCTGCCACCTGCAGATACCCAGGCCTTACAGGACTTTACCCTGGGCCTCCAGAGAAGGGGGGACTGGAACTTGGCCTTAACAGAAACCAGACCAGACCAGAATCAGAATCCCAGTTCTCTGCCAAGAGGAGGTGATCAAGTCTCCAATCCTCAGCTCAGGTTGAGGCCCTTTGACCAGATTCCTGCTTCCAGGACTGGGGACTAGGAAAAAAAGGGTAGGATAGGAAGGGTTAAGGAGAGGAAAGACAGAGCAAAGGGGAGAAAGGTCAGTAAAGTCTCTTGTTCCTTAACCGGTCAGGGCACCCTGGCCAGTTGTTCGTGTCAGGGGGAGAGCAGGGACAAAAGGGTCCCAGTTGTGGCCGCTGGGTCTGGTCCACCGCCAGGCAAGCTGGTCCTTGAGTACCCCGAGTGGTCAGGATGTCAGTCAGAGCAAAGAAGAATCCTGCCAGAGTCGCTACTTGTTGCAGGAAGGGGGACCCCTTCCAGGGCCCCAAAGTGGGCTCTTGTCTAACACTCGGAAATGAATTGAGGAGACAGGTGCTGACAAAGCAAGAGGCTTTACGGGGAAGGGGCACCCGCGGAGAGCAGGAGGGTCAGGGAAGCCAGGAGGACTGCTCTGCCTCGTGGCTCGCAGTCTCGGCTTTTACGGGGATGGGATTAGTTTCCAGGTTGTCTTTGGCCTATCGTTCTGACTCAGGGTCCTTCCTGGTGGCGCACGCCTTGTTCAGCCAAGATGGATGCCAGCGAGATGGATTCTGAGAGGTGTTTGGACACGTGTCACTTTTTGACCTTTCCCGAACTCTTCCAGTTGGTGGCTTACTAGTTTCTTGGTCCTCACTAGGACCTCCTGTCCTAAAACAACTCATGCAAATAGGAACTATGGTGCCTGGCCAGGGTGGACAGTTTCAGTCAGTGTGCTTCCCCTACCAGGCTTGGAAGCTCCCTGCCCCGGGATTTCAATCACTTCTGCCCCAGCAGGCTGGGCTTAGGGAGCCCCGGGGCTCCTCAGCATGCACCCCCACCCAGTTCAGCCCTGGGAGTGGACCAGGACTGTGGGTCCCGCTGTCCTGCTCTTCTAGAGGCTGGCCGACAGCAGCAACCTTGGATTCCAGTGTTCAGCCGGTGGCAGAACGATGGGGCTGGCATGCCTGCAGGGCGGGGTTCGGCCTCTGGTGCCAGGGCTCAGCTGAGCCCCCAGAGGCCAGCGCCGGTCGAGCCTGGAGCTGGTGGCGGCAACCCCGCAGGGCGGCGCTGCCATGGGGGCGCTGGGGGAAGCCCCGGCGCAAAGTGACTTGGGACTTCTGCCCTCGTCGAGCGGGCAGGCTGAGCCTGGACTCCGCGGGCGCCGCCCCCGGCCGGAGACTCGGAGTCCGCGCTCCACTCGGGTGCCGTCTAGCCGTCTGGCCTGCGGGGCCCGTGGTCCTCTCGGGCCGTGGGCGGGGCACGCTCGGGGCGCGCGGCTATTGGGCGGCGGCTGGGACGCGCGCCGCCGCTCCCCCGCGCACGCTCCTTGCGCCTCGCAACGACGCGCATGGGCGCCGCTACGGCTGTGCCGCGACCCGCGCTGGCGATTGGCGGAGGGGCGGGGACCGGGGCGCGGCTGCCCGCTGATTGGCCGCGCCGGGCGGGGGCGGGCCGCGCACGCACTTAAGGGGCGGTGTCCGGGCCGCGGGCGCTGGTGCCAAGATGTCGGCGGCGGCGGTGCCGGAGCTCAAGCGGATCAGTCGGGTAGAGGCGATGCGCCTGGGCCCCGGCTGGAGCCACTCGTGCCACGCCATGCTGTACGCCGCGAACCCGGGCCAGCTCTTCGGCCGCATCCCCATGCGCTTCTCGGTGCTGGTGAGGACGCGGGCGTGCGGGCGGCTGGGGACGGGGCGCCGCCGCTCGGATCCGCGCCCGTGACCTGGAGCTCCGTTGCAGATGCAGATGCGCTTCGACGGGCTGCTGGGCTTCCCCGGTGGCTTCGTGGACCGGCGCTTCTGGTCGCTGGAGGACGGACTGAACCGGGTGCTGGGCCTGGGCCTGGGCTGCCTGCGCCTCACGGAGGCAGACTACTTGAGCTCGCACCTGACCGAGGGCCCCCACCGCGTCGTGGCGCACCTGTACGCGCGGCAGCTGACGCTGGAGCAGTTGCACGCCGTGGAGATCAGCGCGGTGCACTCGCGGGACCACGGCCTGGAGGTGGGGCCGCCGCCCGGGCCCCGGGCCCCGCCCCCCGCCCCGGGGTTTGGCTCTGGCCCAGCGGAAGGCACCGATGGGTAACACGTCCCCCTGAGGGTTCCCTGGCCGGGCTGGGAGGGTGACGCTGTCTCAGCTTCGGGGAGGAGAGAGGGACCAGGGGCCGGGCAGGGTGGGAGGGGGTCCGGGGCGCCCTCGGGTCTGTGTTCCATCTGCCTTGCTGCCTGCCATTGCCAATCCTGGGAGTGGGGGCGTGGGATCGGTGGGAGGTGGAAGGGGGCGGTGCCTGCTCCGGGGGCTGTGAACAGAGTACAGAGGTCTGGGTTCTCGTGGTGGGGGCACGAAGGCTTTTCCTAGTGGTGGGTTTCACCGCCTTGAAGGCCTGGGAGTGACACTTGGGGTATTTGGGATTCATCAGGTGGAAGAGGGAGCATGGGGTATGGACTGGGGGCTTCCAGCCAGGGAGGGAGGGCTGGGACTTGGGGGCGGGGTACATGCATGGGGTGGGGGGCGGTTTGAAACTCGCTGGGGGAAGGGAAGGGCTGCACTTCCCCAAGGGAGCCGGCTGGCTACCCCCTACCCGTTAGGGCCTCATTCTGTCGACGACCTGGCTGCCCCACCCCCGGCCTAGCGGCTCACCAGCTCCTCCTGCAACGGCCCTGTCTTCCCCGTGGGCCTGGTCCCAACCCTAGTCTCCTCTCCGCAGGTACTGGGACTTGTCCGTGTCCCTCTATATACCCAGAAAGACCGAGTTGGGGGCTTTCCCAACTTCCTGAGCAATGCCTTTATCAGCACAGCCAAGTACCAGCTCCTGTTCGCCCTCAAGGTGCTCAACATGATGCCAGAGGAGAAGCTGGCTGAGGCCTTGGCTGCTGCCACAGAGAAGCAGAAGAAGGCCCTGGAGAAGCTGCTCCCGTCTTCCTCCTGAGGTGCCCCCCCCAGCTCTCTCTGCCTGTGGGCTGTGTTCCTGCAGGCCTGTCTTCTGGCATGTGCCACGTCTGTCCCACCTGACTGGGGGAGTGGGCACCTTGTCTCCCCAGTGCCCTGAGCAGTTACTGGGGGACCCAGGGGCTGTCTGACAGCCCGGTGGGTGCACGCACACGGCCCTGGAGAAGTTGGTTTGTTCTTACAGCAGTTCTGTTCTTGAGGAGCCACCCCTGGGTTGACTCTCTGGCATCTTGCCCTGAGCCAGTCCCAGCCTAAGCTAGGAGGGGATACTGTGAATTTTGGTTGTTAGCTTTACTTGTGAGTTTTCAGAGCAGCTGTACCTCCTTGGGTTTGGCCCCTGTGGACAGGCAGGGCTCAGGTGTAGATGGAGCTGCTGGAGGGACAGGGAAGCTGTGTGTCCTTCGATCCTGGCTGCGGGCCTGGGGCAGACACGGGAGGTGTCCCTTCCGGGCTTCCCGGGACTGAGGGCTGAGGTGGAGCCTGAGTCGGGCTCGGGGCCCTTTCCCAGGCAGGGTGCGGCCCCCTCCCTGTGGTTGCTGTGGCCCTGCCTGCCCTGGACGCTGGGCCATGAGCGTGCTCCGGTGGTTTCTCAGTGGAAGCTGACAGGCCTCCCTCCCCCGCCGCCGGCCTGGGTGCCTCTGCTCCGGCCTGCTCTGAGAGCCTCCCCCTCTGTTGGCAGCACCCTCTGCGGGCACCCCCAGGAGTTGGCCCGGCAGCACCAGCCGAGTGTGCGGTGACAGCAGTGGAGCCGCCCGGGCCAGGAGGGTCACCTCTGGCGGTCTCCTCGGTACGGAAAGACTTCTCAGTGAAGCTGGCGGGTTCTGTGGCGCTGGCCTGGCTGGTAAGGACAGCAGGTTCTTGCCCCAGCCCGGGCACCTGCCTTGGAGTCTTGGTGCAGCGTTGGCACGTGTGGGCAGGAGCACTGGCTCTGTAATAAAACACCTGAACCTCGTTCCTCTGATTTTCTGGGGCGTGCTTCACTTGCTGGGTGGCTTTGTCGGGAGGGGCTCTGTGCACTGGTGGTCGCCCTGGCAGCCCCGCACCCAGCACGGCACGCCCTCCCCTCACTGTGCCTCACCAGCCAGGACCGCAGGCCAGCACCGAACCCGCACCACCACCGGACTGTAAGTTTTATTTTCCCACAAATGACTTACGCTGCCCAGGGGCCCCAGGCCTCCCCATCTGGGCGAACCTCAGCATGGCGTGGGGATGCTCCCCACGGCCCTGCCTGCTCCGGGCCTGAGCCCCTGCCTGACGAGAGGGTCTGACGAGAGGATGAGAGGCCCCGTCCTGCCTCGATGTGGGCGTCACTGCCCTGCACCGGCCTGCCTGCTGCTGCTGCTGCTCCTGGGCCTGCTCCTCTGGCCGCCACAGCTGCCCGCTCGCTGCCCTCCTGTCCTTGGGCACACAGCTTCAGGGTGGATCAGTCACCCCATGTCCGGTTCTGAGAAGGGAAAAGGCAGACTGGAGGGGGCTCCCTCGGCTGCCCCGCCGACCCTGCTCTCCGGGCCTGCAGCCACCGGTCACTCACCGTCCCCTGGCTACGGCTCCCGCCAGCTCTCCTTCCCGCTCAGCGCCTGCAGCTTCTCCAGGCTCTGGGTCACCGAGCACAGGACTCGCCCTGAGGACGGGAACGCACAGTCACAGCTTCACAGGCAGGGGAGCAGGCACGGCGGACCTCGCGGCCAATGGGCTGCAGCCCCTGGACTCACCCATCTCCCGGACTCGCTCCTCCAGGGCTCCGGACAGCTCGGGGAGGCTCAGGGCCTGCAATGAGGCCTGCCAGCCTTTGGGATCTGTGGAGCAGAGAGCCGCGTGGGCGTGGGTTCTGGGCGTCCTGAGCCACTGTGACAGGACTGGCCCTCTAGAGCCACACGTCCCCGCAGTGTGTCAGCGTGTTCTCTGCCCACTTGGGAAGCAAAGCGCTGACGGCCAGTAGGGGCCCAGCCCCAGAGCTGAGTGTGCGAGGGCCAGCCTGCTGGGCTGTGGCGCCTTGGACGGTGCTGGCAGCCGAGGCCCTCCGGGAGAGACCGTGAGGATGTGGGTGTGCAGTGCGAGGGGACCGGGGAGGCGTCCACATGACAAGCACACTGGGACAGGTGGTGAAACCCAGCCTGGGAGGCGGCCCACCCTTGTCCGCCTGCCCCACAGCCGGGACGCCGCCCTCCTTACCTGCTGCAGGGAGGCCTGGGCTCAGGGGGACCTCACGCAGGGACTCGTCCCGCCTCACTCGGGCTGACAGCTCAGCCTGACAGGCCCTGCCGGATGGACACCGAGCGCCAGTGAGGGGCAAGGCCAGGGCAGCCTGGAGTGTGGGGTGGGCTCCGCCTGGAAGCCTCTCTCAGCGCCCGGCAGGGACGCCCACGGGGGCCCCTCTGCTGCCTGTGGGGAGGGACAGCCTGGTATGGCAGCTACTCCAGGAGGCCCTGAAAACCACCCACTGGTGGGAAATCCAGAGGAAACAGACAGAGCCTGGCGCTAGCCGGGGGTCAGCCGTACACCCACTCACCGCAGCTGGTCCAGGACAAGCGCGGCATCCTTGGCAAGGGCCCAGGTCTCCTGCAGCTGTGCGTGGACGTCCTTGCGGGCACCATCCTGCTCCAGGAGGCAGCTCTCCACCACGGCCCGCAGCTCCTGCTCCTGGGACACCAGGCCTCGCATGGCCTCCACCTCCTCGCAGCGCTGGGGCAGGCGGAGAGCACCTCAGGCTGCGTCCCCCTGCCCTGGCCCCCACGCCTGCTGCTCTGGGGGCCCATCTTCCTCAGCCCTGCCCACAGTGTGCTGCCTGTGCCCGCCCTCCTGGGGGCCCCCTCCTGCCCCTGAGCTGTCACCGGTCCAACTGCTGCTCTCTGCCACCCCCTCTGCCGCCCCCTGCCCCGGCACCACCCTCACCTTGTGCAGCTGGATGGCAAGCTCCTGCATCTCAGCCTCCAGCCGGTCGGCATAGGCCAGCTCCAGGGCATCACTGGGGGGGCGGGCGCTGCTGTGCCAGCGGGCGATGGCAGACGTCATTTTCCTCTTGGGCCCAAACAACCTGCAGCAGGAAGGACACTGCTCAGCACCTGCTGTTGTGTGGAGGTTCCGTGGGCCATCCTGCCAAGACCGTCCGCTACAGAGACCCCAGCCTTGAAGGGAGCAGGGAGCCCCCAGGAGAGAGGACAGAAGTGTCCCAGGGAGTCATGACCCCTCGCCCTGCCCATAGCCTTGCCCGGTTCTCACAGCATGGAGAGCCAGGCTGCTCGGACGCTCTCAGGGTCAGGGTGGGAAGCGTCTGGTGGCCTGAGCACAGTGGTGTCCACTGGGCCAGCTCGGGTCTCGGGACCCAGGCTGCCAGCATCCGAGCCAGGAGCGGCCGCTAGAGTAGAGGGTAGCTGATAGCAGGAAGCAGCCGGCCTCTGGACAGGGTGACTCCCCATGCTGGGAGCTGCGACCTCAGCTGGCCACAGAGGCCCGCACTCACGTGATGCCGATTTCCTTCAGGTCGCTCTCAGTGAGGGTCAGGAAGATGCGGAGGTCCACATCCTGCTCCTCAAACACCTGCAGGTACTTGAGACAGCCGATCTGCTCCAGCAGTGTGGCAAGGTCCTAGGGGCAAGCAGGCCGGCTCAGGATGGGTGGGCCGTGAAGACATGGGCGAGATATGGCCCACCCTGCACATGGGCCACCGTCCTCCCGCTAAGCACCCGGCCCATCCTGAGCCTGCTGACCCCCAGGCGTGGCAGGGAGCCCAGGCTGTCCGCTTTGTGTCCTCAGGCACAGCCTCAGGGCGTCCAGAGACGCGCTAAGCCCATTGCTGTTCCCAGGCCAGGCTCATCACTTAGGCAGGAAGCACAGCCTGTGGCAGGCTGCGGCAGCGGCCCTCAGTCTCCGCCGCCCGGGACTGTTTAAGCGTCCCCTTTGGGGGAGAGACTTCACGGGATGTTGCGTCCCTAGTTAACATGTCACCCCATGTTTTCTGGGCTCCATGGACTCTGATGAGAAATACACTGTTAAACTGTCTGGATGTCCTCATGTCTGTGCTGAGCCACTCATCTCTTGCTCCAGGACTGTTTTCTGACACTGATGGTGATGTGTCCAGGTGTGGCTCTGAGTTTAACCAACTTAGAGCTCATTTAGCTTCTTGGATGTGCAGATCCATTTTTTTTTATCAAACTGGGAAGATCTGGCTTTTGCCAGGAAGGATGATCCCCGATGCTTCTGCTGGGACCAGCTCACGGCCCCTACCTGGCTGATTCTGTTCTGCCCCAGTGCTGCCTGTCCTGCTTCTCGTCTGTGATGTCGAAACCTGGCCTCCCCAGCATCACTGAGGTCCGGGCCAGAAGTACCAATGCCTGGCGTTTGATGCACGAGGGCTTGGATCCCGACCAAAGCGTCCAGGGTCTGGGATTATTTTTTCTGAACTCGCACTCCCGCACCTGTAGCCCTCCTCCAGGGTTTCTTCTGCAGGGGCCCCATGGCCGTTCGGGGGACAGTCCCGAGTGCCACCTTCTCTCTGCCTCTCGTGCAGCTTGTCCCTGTCGCCTGACGTCAGTGCTGATGCTGGTCCAGCGCTTCTCCTCCCCTGGCTCAGGGAGGCTGAGATGAGCATGGAAACCAGGGGGCGAGACAGGAACCCCCGTGGAGGGACGGACAGATAGCCTGCTCCTCTCCCCAGCGTGAACAATCGGCTGAGGCTGAGTAGTCTTCTAGGTCGTGTGGAGAATCCCGCCCCACCCTTCTCAACAGTGCCGGCCCACAGGAAGTACCAATAAATGCCTCAGCAATCCAAGACCGCCCGTGGCTTTACCTGAGGTCCTGAATAGGGGGGCCTGTCCGTCTGGGGGCTCGCTCCTGGGGCACAGGACGTCGCGGCGCTGGGAGCCCACTGGCTGTCGCTGCTGCTGTAACGGTTCTTGGTCTTCACATAACTTTTAGTTTGTTTGCGAACCGAGCTTCTCCGCACGTGATCTGAATCCTGGGTGAGAGGTGTGTTTACAGTAGCTCTGGGCTGGCCCATCCAGGCCCCACTCCGCCACCAGCATCTGGCCTCATCTGCGCTCCTTCACCTCCTGGGGACACTGGGCGGTCTGAACCTTCAACAAAGCCCCACCTGCCACTGTGGCCCCACAGAGCTCCAGGTGCCTCTGAGACAGCCTGACAGCCCCGCTCACCTGGCTGAGCCGTCAGGCGCCCCCACGACGCCGGGCAAGGAGTGGAAGGGAGGGGAGGGCAGGGTTACCTCGTTGCTCTCCAGGGAGGCCTCGCTGCTGAGTCCCGGCGCCCGGGCCAGGCCCTCGCTGCTGCTGCTCCGCATGACCCCAGGGTTGGCAGAGAAGGCCTGCTCTTCTGACGGAGGGGAGACAAGGGCGCCTGACCACAAGCCTGGCCATGGCAACGCGCAGCCCAGCCCAGCCCCCGCCCTGCCTGCCACCTTGTCGCTTCTGCTCCATGCTGACTGCTGGGCCCGCGCACCCTCTGCACACACAGCAGGGCTTGTCTGCCCTGTTCTCAGGGAGACCCAGGCATCGCGCGGGGCGGGCAGCGAAGGAACACACAGACTCTCCCAAGGACCCGCCACTCCAGGGGCGAGACCCGTCTGTCTGCACCGACCCCCGGACCGGCTCAGAGACCCTGGCCCCACGCCGGACCCTCCTCAGGAGCCCCCAGCCTCTCCCCAGCCCCGGCCCGCGCCTGCTGGGGAGCGCACCGCGGCTGCTGCTGCTGCTGCTCTCCACGTCCCGCTCGTTGATGGGCGAGGTGACGTCCCTGTAGCACAAGCTGCTCCCCTCCAGGGGGTGTTCGTCGCTGCTGTTGAAGCTGACGTAGCCCCGGGGAGGCACCTGCTCTGTTGACAGAAAGGGGCACGTAAACCCCTGCACACGAGAGGCAGGAGGCGTCCTTCTGCACGTGACCACCTCCTCCTTGGGGCCTCGGGGAGGGGAGCCCCAAGACAGCACTGTCCAGTTGCTGCCGCAACCTGGACAAGTTGCACCATCGACAGGCTCCAAGGGGTCCCCAACAAGTGTGTGCCCAACAGCGGGTGCACAGCCACCTCTCCCTCCAGCCACACTGACGCCTTGCCAAGAGGAGAAGACCGTGAGCTGTGTTTACAGACTGCTGGGCCAGAGGAGAACTGTGCCACAAAGCGTTCCTGTAGCTGGAAACACACACCCCTCGCCAAATGACCTGGCTGAGCAGGAAGCTGAGGAGCTCTGGCTAAACGTTAACAGCGAGCCGGTGAAGTATGTGACCGGTGAGTCTATCTGCCTGTGAGAAAACGAGGGGGAGAGGCGAGACACAGGCCCAAGTGGTTAACCCGCTCTGCCCCTCCCCGGGCCTCCCTGGGGGCTGGCTGGTAAGGAACCGCCTGCAGTGCGGGAGGCCTGGGTCTGATCCCTGGGTTGGGAAGATCCCCTGGAGAAGGGAACGGCTACCCACTCCAGGATTCTGGCCTGGAGAGTTCCATGGACTGTATGTCCATGGGGTTGCAGAGTCGGACACGACTGAGCGACTCTCACCTCACTTGCCCCTCCCCACAGAAAGTGTGTGTGCGCAGAGTGCCTGGCTGGTGGGACCAGGGGTAACTTATTTCCTTCTTTATACCTTTATAGTTCAAAAATGTTTTTTAACTGCTGGGGAAGAGAATACACGTGCTTACAAAAAGTTAAACTATCACCCAGTGTAAGAGGAAAAGTAATCTCCTGAAAGGCCACAGCCAAGAGACTGGGGGGGCGGGGGCGCTCCTTCCCACCATCAACCCCCCCCACCCCCGCCACAGCGCAGGTGGGACAGGCGGCCTGGGTGCCCCCGAAGGAACAGACCTCATCCCAGGGTCCTGTGCTCCCAGCCGCCAAGACTACCGCCCACGCTCTCGCCTGAGGCACCAGCTCTTGGTCAGCCCCCAGCCCTGGGAGGAGGCGGGCCTGGAGTTCCCAGCCAGCACCAGGACCCCGACCCAAGGGTCTGAGAAGGGAATCAAGTCCTCACGTGGTCTCCTGGCTGGGAGTTCCCAGGGTGGCCTGGTCACTGATGAGCAAGACACCACATCTAAATCTGGTCACACGGCCGGACCAGCATGAGTGTGTCAACCCCGACATGCCCCAAGAACTCAGCATCTGCTCCTCAAGAGCACTGCACTCAACACGCAAGACAGACGGTCTGACAAAGCTCAGGGGATCTGAACACTTGGGGTCTGAGGTTCTGGCCCACCAGGTGTGTTTACCTTCTGACACTTCTCACCCCCGTGAGACCTACCCCCTTGAGGAATGGATCTGAGCTCAGCAATGCTTCTCCTCCAGGAGAGAAAGTTCTATTTGTAATTCTACCTGACAGAAAAGAAGTTTAAAGGAAGGCCCAAAGAGCCAGCTGGGGCCTGGCGTGCCTCCGTCCCTGTGACCCATTCTGAGTCCTCCAGCGGCTGCTCCCACCCAGCTGCCCAGGGGGCCCCATGTCGCAAGCCTGAGTGCTCATTCTCTGGGACGGGATCCCAGGCTCCGGGGTCATGGGGCGCTCACCATAGCGAGGCTGCTGTGCCCGGCCCCCGAGTCCGATGGCTGTGATGCGGGCCAGGGCTCGCGGCCCCTCATGGATGCTGAGCCCCTTCTTGCGGCAGGGCCTCTGTCGTGGAGGGACAGAGCCACACTCATCTGAAGAGCTCAGATCTTCGTATTTTTCTGTGGGTTAAGCACCAAGATTCAGACAGCCTGACCAGTGATGGACTAGACTAATCTTCATAACAAGCTGGAAGAAAAATCATCATAACTGATTTTCCTAAATTAAGTGTTCCTGGGCTGTCACCTGTAAGAAATGCCACAGTGGGCGGGTCCAATACTCGGGGGCCACAGGGATGTGTGGGGGAGGGGGACACAAGACTGCCGAGCATCACGGGGGTCCAGTGCATCCTCCTCTCCTCAATGTGTATTCTCAACCTCAACAACGTACTGGGAAACAAGGGCCATGTGAAGGCTCCTGTGCTGTTTTACTGAAGTTTTCAAATCACTACCCGTCTGAGCCGAAGAGCTCAGTGTGCCCAAGGTCGTCAGCACTTTGTAGCTTTTCATCGTTTTCCAAACATCGTGATGCTTAGAAGGCACATTTCAGCAGCTTATTGGTAGAAGCTCCCATTGGGGAGGGTCTCACTCTGGAGCCGGAGGACTGGGGCAGAGACAGAAGCCCCTGGTGACCACTGCATCCCCTGGGCCGTGTGTGCTGCCTAGACAGGAGGGGAGCAGCTCACTGAGACGTGAACTGCAGGCTCAGCCGGCCGCTGCCTGAGCGCCCCCAAGCTGGGGCAGTGACCCCGAGTGGACCTCTCCCTCACACTCCACGATCCATGCCTCCAGGACACTGGGGCCGTCCAAGCAGAGGGTGAAGGAGCCACAAAACATGAACCTTCAGGGAGGGGAACCAAGGCAAAGGTGGCTGCATGACGCTGAGCTGCCGCAGCCCCTGTCCTTCAGTGGAACAGCCAGCACCAGGTGCAGCCCACACCACGGCAGGGTCAGAGGGTAGGGAGGAGCCGGCGGTGTGTGCAGGGGCGCAGCGCCCCGTTCACCGTACAGAGACTAGTGGGTCTTCAAGAAAATCACAGCAGAGAAACGAGGGCAAAGGCCAGGCCCAGACAGGGTCACAGGAGAGTCCTTCAAGGACCATGTGGGACCAATGCTCCATACACTGTTCTAGGGCACAGAAAGGAAGGGGAGCTTCCAGTTCTGCTTATGAAGCAAGCTCAATACGAGACCCATAGCTGGTAAAGACAGAGCAAAAGAGAATCACAGACCAGCATCAGTTATGAGTACCCACACAAAATTAATAAAATACTCGCAAACAAAATCCAAAACCACATTAAGAAAATAAGGGACTTCCCTGGTGGTCTAGTGGCTAAGACTCTGGGCCCCCAATGCAGGGGGTCCAGATTTGATCCCTAGTCAGAGACCTAGATCCCACATGCCACAAATAAGCCTGGGCGTAGCCAAATAAAAACAATCTAAAAATATCCTAATATGCCAAGTAGGATTTATGCCAAGAATGTAAAGTTGATTCACTTTTAGAAAATTAATTAATATACTGTGTTAACAGGTGTAAGGAGAAAATTCACAATCATCTCCATAGATGTTAAAAACACCTTTGACAAAATTTGGCACGTATAAAGACATTCAAGGATACAGGAAATAACGGATACTTTACTAACATGATGACATATATGCATCTTTACTCTGCAAGCCAGCGTATTACCTAATGTGGCATTTCCGCTAAGATTAGGGCCAAAGTCAAAGTCCACTACCTCCACCTCATTCAACAGGGAACTAGAGGGATGAGTGAGTGTGATGACAGCAAAGAAATAGGAGGTGTGAGAATCACGGAAAAAAGTAGTAAATCTTGTCGCTATGTGCAGGTTTTATGGTAGTGTACCTGGGAAAAAACTAGAGAAGCAATAAATAAAACCATTATAAAGTCCCAACAATGACAGAATCCAGTCAGGCAGCAGAACTCGGCACTGTGGACAGACATCAATCTCCTTCCTCTGTGGAAGCAGTTCTAGGCGACACAACGCTAATGAACTGGACACAAAACTAAAACATCTGCCTGGTAACAAACGCCAGAGCAAAGTCAAGGAACAAAAGCCAGAGCCGCCCCTCTGAGCTGCCCTCTTCCCGCCCGCCCGCCTGCCTATCCTCAGCTGGGCAGTCCCTCCCTCCTCAGCCCAGGGAGAAGAGGAGGTGCTGCAGACGCCGCTACCTGGGCTCCGGTAGAGGCTCTTGGGCAGAGAAGGTGAGTGGGCGTCAATCAGTCCCACGATCTTCATGTGTCCGTACTGCTTGGCCAGCATCCGGGCTGTGGCTCCACTGTGGTCTCTCGTGTCCACTTTGACTCCCTGGGACAGTTTGCAGAAGGAGAGTTAGGAGCCTCACCTACAAAGCAGCCTCACTCCCAGCTGTGGACCTTGGAGAAGAGGGCTGAAACGCTCGAGCCCCATCCACACGCACCACACTGCGCTGAGTGACAGAATCATCGCGGAAATAAGCACGCATTTATATATATAAACCTTTAAAGTGTGTAAAACAAGTCTGCACACAGCACGTGAGGAGACTGTAAAGTCAGGGGAGTATGGTTACCTCTGGATCCACGTGGGGGTTGTACTGGTGTTACCTTCTGTACCGTTCAGTATGTTTAAAGTGCTTCACGATTCAGTGTTCTCACTGCCTTGAACAGGGTTCAGGTTGGTACGACCTGCTCTCTGCATAGCAGCCTGGCCTCATCAAGTGAAGGCTGTCCTTAGGCTACATCCCAAACTCCTGCTTTCAGTACCCAACTGTACAGACGTGGTCACACACGTGTATGATGTATGTGTGCAGACCTCCTGCAGGGCGCTGAGTGATGGCAGACACGACCTGATGCCATCAGCAGGCCAGGGTTGGAGAACCTGATTCAACCATACAAGGGAGCACTACGCTGCCACCCACGAGAGAGCTTTACGTCCACTGGTGGAGAATAAGCCAGGACAGACCAGTTTAAAAAAAATAAACAAGCTGGGGAGCAGCCGTGGGGAGAACATGGAGACGGAGACTGAGGCAGAGGCAGGAGGCAGGTGCATGTGCGCCTTTTGTCATCCAGGTTTTTACATGTGCAGGTACTATCCCCAAATTCTTTTTCAGAAAGAGATAGCATGTTAACATTTTATGATGCAAAAAGTCCCAGGGACTTCCCTGGTGGTCCAGTGGCTAAGAATCCATGCTCCCAATGCAGGGACTCCACCTGGGTCCGATCCCTAGTCAGGGAACTAAGATTCCCACATGGCCCAACTAAGACCCAGCACAGCTTAATAAATAAATAAAATCACACACTCGCGCACACACACACACACACACACACACACATATAAAAGAGCAACCCACTCCAGTATTCTTGCCTGGAGAATCCCATGAACAGAGGAACCTAGTGGGCTATAGCCCATGGGGTCACAAAGAGTCGGACACGGCTGAACATATGACAACAGGCAGAAAACCAACACAACACTGTAAAGCAGTTATCCTCCAATTAAAAAAAATTTTTTTTTAATTTATAAAAACAGAAATACAACATACAGAAATAACTGCATGCATGCTAAAGCTGTGTGGGCAAAGATATTTCCTGGAGCACTGCCTGTAATTGCGAAATGTTGGAAGCCTCAGCTCTACTAATAAGGAACTAATTGAACTAACTATGGCATGGATACTGTATGGAATACCATAAAAGGGTACAATGTCTATGTCACATTAAGCTATTTTTCAGAAGCTGCAAACAGGCAGTAGAATCCCACTTCGTTCAAAGCATAAAGCCATGCGTCTGCAGGTGTCTATAGACGTGGTCTTTTATCAACCCAGTGGGCATCCTGAGGAGGAACGGGGGTGGCCTCCTGATTCTGTATAAATTTTGTAAGTGACGGGATGATGAGTGCTATTTACTGTTTTAAATTTTTCCCCACACTTTTCAAATATTTTCAAAAGTATTACAGGAACAGGTGTCTATACTCACTCACGACTGTACCGTTGATACCTAATGCGGCACTCAGCACTGGGTATCCACAGATATTCAGTGAAAAATGTGCTGAATCAACGGATGCAGAGCTATTATTTCTGTGTGGGAGAAAGTCCTCCTGCAGTTTACAGTCCTGTGATAAGATGCCTCAGCTGCTGTGATGGAATTACAAGCTAATAAACAGGGTCACTCACATGATTCAGAAAATACTGCACGATGATCTCATGGCCGGCGGCCGCAGCTTCCATCAGTGGAGTGAATCCATACACCGGCTCCCTGCAGGGGGACTGTGGTCAGACGGGGAGCAGGCAGAGTCCCCCTGCTGCAGACAAAACCTCAGCGACGGTGACGCCTCCCCCAGCCTGGAGGGCTCCCTTGGCTTCTACCCCCAGCGCTAGTCTTTTGTTCCAAAGACAATCCACCTCCCATCTCTGCTCCTTCACAGCTGTTTCCACTTGCTGTGATCTGAACCTGCACTTAATCACAGCAAAGCAGCTGTCATCCCTCACTGCTCACAGTGAGCACCTCCTCTCCACCTCTCCAGATACCCCACCTTGCAGATCAAGACCCTCCAGGAACCCTCCCGGGACTCCAGGACTAACAATCGACCCTGCCCTCACTACAAGTACTTGGTGCTTGCTTATGCGTAACTCGGAGCTGAACTGCACCAGGTGCACGTTCACCTCTTCAGAGCGCCCCCTGGCTCTGACTAGTGTCACCCGGTCTAGGAGACAGGAAGCAAGCTAACCGCTGGTTTTCATGTTCCAAGACACATAGTTTTCATGTTTTAGCATCACTGAAGTCAACGTCAATAAACGAGTTGCAATGTAACGAGAAGCCCTTTCTCTCTTTCTTAATGGGCTGGAGACCTACAGTGTGTGACCCCGGCTGACATCAGCCAGGGTGTGCAGTGTCAAGTGGATGCCGGGTTCAAAGAGGATTATCACAGTGACATGCTTTAGACAACACTATTTCCAGCTTAAAAAACTCAAGAGTGCTTTCGAAGTATCACTTCATATATGTATGTGGAATGATATATACATATACACACACAGAAGGCAAGAAAGAGAAACTGACTGGCATTTAACACATGTCAGTTCAGTGCCATTCACTATGTTAGGCCCCTGGCATATGACAGGACATGTAATTCTTCTAATAATCCCGTGACACAGGCACTGCCATCCTCTTTTCAGATAAAGGAAACAAGGCACGCAGAGCTTAAAGTGCTGCACGGAGTGTCACGTGACAGACACACGAGAAAGCCAGCACGCTCCCTGTGCCTCTGCCCTGGGCGGACTGTCCCCTCCACCCCAGGTCTTGAGCCTGTCACACCGAGGCAGGGGTTCCTGCTCTCTGGCCTCTAGCTGCCTCGCTAGCTGCCCTCCTCAGAGTCAGCCGTGACCACCTGACTCCCACGGCCACTGACGACCTGGTAATGACCTCACGTTGGCGTTCGCTCCACTGTCCAAAAGGAACTTGACCATCTGCTGGTGCCCAGCACTGGTGCAGTGGAAGAGGGCAGTCCAGCCCTGAATGTCCTTCATTTCCAGCTCAGCACCTTGCTTCAAGAGAACAGAGAATACCTGTTAAGGCCGCGTCTCCTCCGCACAGGGCAGGCACCCTCCAGGCCATCCCACTGAAAGAATCAAAGTGATTACCCGAGCACACTGCAGTGGTTCCCTCTCTGCCGAGTGGCCTGAGGCCCTCGCAGCTCACCTGGAGAAGGAAATAGGCGATGCTCTCGTTGCCACAGCTGGAAGCCAGCATCAGTGGAGTCTGCCCTTCCGGGGTCGGCACATTCACGCTGACCCCCGCCTCAAGCAGGAGGTGCACGATGGTATCGTGTCCAATGTAGGAGGCATACATCAGCGGGGTCCAGCCACCACCATTCTTCTTATTCAAATCTAACTCTCTCCTAAACAAATGCAAGACATGCTAGACATGCCAGCCATCGCACACATGGGATTTACCAATCCCAGTGGCCAGGCCAGGCCAAGCCAAGAGAAAGAGTGGGGAGTGCTGACAGGAAGCAGAGTCAACTGCCACCCTGGACATCACAGGGTTCAGGGGTGACTCCACTTTCTGGACCACTGCCTCTGCAAACTACCTTGAGTTTGCCTCCATGCTCCAATTTCTTGTTCTCATCTGTGCTCTCTTCCTACCCCAAGGTCAGCTCTTCCTCCCTCCCACCAGCCACAGAGACAGTTCTTGCCCAGGGGAGGTTCTGCCCCCTAGGGTGGTCGGCAAAGCCTGGAGACATTTTTTAGCTGTCACAACTGTGAAGGGAAAGGTTACTGGCATCCAGGGGGCAGAGGGAGGCCAGGCGTGTGGCTCTGCATCTGGAGGTTCACAGAACGCCCCGCAGAGCAAAGGAGGAGCTCACCAGCTTGCCAGCAGTGCCGAGGCCAAGACACTGCTGATTACACACTACTATTCGAAACTGCTTTTCTCACTGGTGCCCAGCATAAACCATCCCTGACAACCGCCTGAGAGAAGCAGCAGTTAATCTGAAATGAAGTGAAGTCACTCAGTCATTTCCGACTTTTTGTGACCCCACGGACTGTAGCCTACCAGGCTCCTCCGTCCATGGGATTTTCCAGGCAAGAATACGGGAGTGGAAAAAAATAAAAAGAATACTGGAGTGGGTGGCCATTTCCTTCTTCAGATCTTCCCCAACCCAGGGATTGAACCTGGGTCTCCCGCATTGTAGGCAGACGCTTTACCGTACGGAGCCACCAGGAAGTCCGTAATCTACCCGTGGGTTAAACGTCTACAGCTGTGGGCCAGGCCTCCTGATGGCTCCACCTGGGATTGAAGCCATGGCGCTCACACATCCAAGAGGAAGGAACGCCTCCCAAGACCTCTTACCGCTGCACACATTCCTTCACCACCTCATACTGGCCGATGGAAGCCGCTGTGTGAAGATCCAGGGGGACAGCTAGCTCCTCCCGGCTGACCTGCGTGCCCAGCCCGTGCCACATGGACAAGCTGCGGTTCAGCAGCTCTGGCTCGCTGGCTTCATCGCTGAGCTCTGACATCGCTGTGGAGGGGGATCCTGGGGTCGGTTGGGTCTTTCCTTTCTGGTAGTTCCAGGGGATGAAACGCGATGGTCACACTCCTGCCACAGCAGACTGCTGCCGACAGCAGCTGAACGATCCTGGGCGCCGAACCTGAACAAGAATCCAAATCAGCTGAGTGTCAGTTCCACACTCCTTTCACAACACTCCTTCAGCCTTCTTTGGGGGTGTCTCTTCTACTCCCAAATGCCTCCTCCAGGGTAGGACCCACATTCTCTTTTATTAGAAGCTTGCTCAGTTGGTAAAGAATCCACCTGCAATGCAGGAGACCCTGGTTTGATTCCTGGGTTGGGAAGATGCACTGGAGAAGGGATAGGCTACCCACTCCAGTATTCTTGGGCTTCCCTTGTGGGTCAGCTGGTAAAGAATCCGCCCACAATGCGGGAGACCTGGGTTCAGAAAATCCCCTGGAGAAGATAAAGGCTACTTACTTCAATATTCTGGGCTAGAGAATTCCATGGACAGTCCATGAGGTCTGTCAGACCCCATGAGTCAGACACGATTGAGCGACTTTCCCTTTCAACTGTCTGAAACTGGGCACAACGCTGAGGGGCTATCAGAATCATGGAAGGAGAACTCGGATGCCCAGGGACCATAAAGCTACTTTATCACTCTGCTCCATGCCAGACGCTCTAAAACGACGGGGTATTCCTTAGGAACAAAATCATATGCAGGTATATATCACGTATACTTGTCGAAAATCTTTTGCCTATCGCTTCTAGAATTTATCTCCAGGAAGTAACACTGGGAATGAGATCTTTTAATTTTCCTTCCACCTTTGAGTTCTGTCCATTCGGTAAAAAGGTAAGTATCCGTTACTTTCAAAGCACACCAAGATAAGTAAATAACAACAACAAACGACGTCGGTGGTGACCGTCACGGTCACAGGGTCTGTAAAAGCCCGAGGGCACCGCGTCCTGCCCTGGGGCGTGGGCCTTCCGCTGCCTCCAGGCATCCCCACCTCGTTCTCGGGCCCCGGGGAGGGTAACCCAGGGAACTACTAACGCGCCGACGCCTCCTCCCAGTAACCTTACCCCGCACGTGGCTTTTCCTTTCCGGCTCCTCAGCTGCGAAGATTTCGCTCTGAGCTGTAAACTCCCGCGGCGAACCAGCGGCAGAGCTGGGACGCCCCGCGAACAGGCAGCAGGTGCGAGCACCAGGGAGGGGCCGGGCCACCGCGGAACCTCCCCGCGCTGGGCCTCGGGCCCCGGGCAGCCCTGGGGCCGCCGCTCGCCACCGCCACCGCCGCCGCCGCCGCCGCCGCGCCTGCCCGGGTTCCCTCCGCGCGGGTCGCCGCCACAGCGCGCGGACCCAGCGGCCCACTCCCGCCCCGGAAGTGGTTGCGGGAGGCGCGGAGCACGCCGGGACGCCCGCGGGTCCCCCTTGGCCTCTCCCGGCGCTGTGGATTTCTCATCCGTCCCGCACCCGGACCTTCCGGTCAGCTCGCCCGGCTAGCTGTGTGACGCCCGAGGCAGCCAATGAGCAAGGGGAGTCCGCCTTGCCCCGCCCCTCCGCTGGCCAGGAGAACCAATCGTGTTTCAGGAGAGGCAGGACGCGCCAAGTCCCGAAAGAGGAGCGGGGGGGCGGGAAGGAGTTGGCCGTCCAGTGATGTAAGACTCTGCTGAACGGGGATTCCGAAGGCGGCGACGGCTTCAGTAATCGCGCCGCTGCCCAAGCAGGAGAACACGACCGAAGAGGCGCAGCGGGGCCGTTTTCGTCCCTGTCGGGGCCGGGAAGAGAGGCGGAGGCCGAAGCCGCAGCTGCGGAGATAAATATTGGGAGGTGGAGGGGGTGGGGGCTGGGGAAACGAGCTGAAGAACTGGTGGGTGGAGGCGCGATAGTAGGGTTTCCTGTTTCCGAACTTTAGAATTTAAAAGCCCCACCCGAGTGGACGGTGGCGTCCAGTTGTCATAACAACCCGCGATCCGGCGGCGGGAGGGGCCGGGGGCGGGGGCGGTAGGAGGGGGGCGGGGCTGACGGGCTGCAGCCAAGAAACGGACGTGGAGGCGCGGTCAGGATTCTGCCGGACTGGGGCTGCTGCTTCGTGTAGTCTTGGGCTGTCCGTTTGGTGAGCGACGCGCCTCAACCCAGCGTTCAGGACCCTTCGCGGTCTGGTCCGTTTGCACCACAGACTCCAGCAACTGAAAACTTCTTCCCCCAACGCGCTGGGTACTTTTCACTCCTCTGAGCCCTTAGGCGCTCTTGCCTTTCCCTCCTCTGTTGCCTTGTCCTCCTGGAGAGCTTGAGAGTCTGTGGTTGTCCCCTGCAACCAGATGATTCTGTTGCCCTCTGATCTGCCCTGCAGCGGAGAACATCCTGCGCTGCCTCCCTTGTTGGGAGCCAGGGCTGGGGCAGGAGTGTTCTCTTCCTATTTTATGGTGACAGAGGCCTTTGAGGCTGCAAGTACTCTCAAGATGCCGGCTCTGAAGTGCCATCACCCCACATTTCTAAGCCTCCTTGACCCCTGAAGGGGGTCTGTTAAGACTCTGGGATACAAAAGGGATGTGTTGGCCAACTGCCTGATAATTTGAGTGTTAACTCCAAAGAAAGTATTCTGGGGACTCCAGAATGTCTATTCTGTTCCTTTGTAAGGGGGCATTAAAAAGTAGTGGCTTGAAATCCCCTCTGACTTTGATACAAATTCTGTCTGTAGATAATAATAATATCTATGTTATATTGGACATATATAGTTTACATAGTATATTTATGTATCATATATCTATCATATATCTATACATATATCTATGTATCATTCTGTACATCATATCCATATACCCACATATCAAGTACATATATATCAATACATGTATCTATATATTGTAAAATCTCACCATATCCATACATCTGTGGCTCCATGGCTCTATCCTGCATTGTGCGCGGACACACACACACACACACACAGTACACAGCACAGTGCCTGGCACTCAGTAACAGGAACCTGCCAACTAGAAGGAAGATGGGGTATGTGGTCCCCCAATCTCTTTTCAACCCCCAAGGCAAGGGATGGTATATGCTTTGAAAAGTCAGCACCCTGAGCTCTCAACCCTTGTCTCTGGGACCCTCTCTCTTTACTCCATGTCCTTTGCAAGGCTCCTTGGATGATGGTACACTGAGCGGCATCCCATGGCATCTCATGATGAAGATCGGCGGCCCTCACTGCCCAGCCCCTGGGACGCCATCCTAGAGGCCGTCAAGGATCAGCTCCCGTCTCTGGACTCGGATTCCTCCTTGGTAAGCAAGCACCTTCCTACATCTTCCTAGGCCCCCACTGCACTTTCCTCCTGTGACAGACACGATGCTGACCAGAGAGCTCAGTGTCATGTAAGTGAAATACCAAGCTATCACCTCACTACACTGCTCATTCCATGCCAGGCATTAACTGGGCTTAGCGGGTGGCAGGTAACCCAGAACTGGGAGCCCTGGATCTCACCTCCACCAGGTGGTGCTGCTGAGCCCATTTCTAAATCAAAGCCTCTGAAATCTGTGTCAGCGAGGCCCTTTGGAAGAGAACTGGTCTCCCCAGACAGTCAGAGAGTCGGAGAGCCGGGGACAGGGCAGGTGGGTGGAAGACGAGGCCCTCCTGGCTCTGCCTCCGGGCCGTTTAACCCAAAGCCTTCTCATCTGTCCACAGTCAGACCGTGAGGATGAGGAGCTGTTCATCTTCCAGCGAAATCAAACCGCCCTGATTCCAGACTTGTCAGAGGAACTGGCCGACGACCCTGCTGGGGCCTGGGTCACTTCCTCTGGGTGTCCTCCTGAGGTCTGTTAAATGCAGGCTCCAGGGGTCCATGGACCTGGGACCCTTCAGTCAGAATAGGGTGTGGGTGCTCCTGGCCCTCACTGGGCTCTAAAGCACTGTGGTTCTAAAGAGGTTAACGCCCCCGGTCTAGCATCACCCAGGCCTTTCTCCTGGTACAGCCCAAGGAGTTCAGACACCAAACATCTACTGGCCTTGTGCACATCATGCTCCCAGGAGCCCAGAACACTTAGAGCTGGGGGCAGGGACTTGATTTTCTATCTGATTGTACCCTCTGTACCCCTTTGACCCCTCACCACACACACACAGTCCTGAGTGCAAGCACTGACCCAGGGTCATCATATGGAGCCAGGGCATGTCCACACCAGAAGTCACCCACACCTCCAGCCAGGCCTAGAAATACATCTGAAATAACTCTAAACAGGAAAACTGCCAAGGCTGCCAAGCTCCCTGGTTAGTTCAGTTGGAACTATGTCTACTTCACTTAATTTTGTGTTTTTTCCATTTCTACAATTACCTTGGCAGTTACTCTTCCAGACAATGATGGTTTAACCTGGGATGGAAAAGCCTGTACCAGCTCACAGGGGTTGAGGCTGTGGGCTCCGTCTGGAGACAAAGGGCCTGGGTGTTGTCTTTTCCACCTCTAACCACTTGCACCTGTGCACACTGGCCAAAAGGGTGGAACAACCCAAATGTCCATCAACAGACAAAATGGATAAACAATAAACAACAGACAATATGGATACAATGGAGTGTATCCATACAACAGAATAGTATTCATCCATGAAAAGGAATGCAGTCCTGACACACAACATGGGTGAACCTTGGAAACACGAAGCCAAGTAGAAGGACACCCAAGACAAATATTGTGTGATTCCACTCCGATGAAATATCTAGAGCAGGCAAACCTATAGCGACAGGAAGTAGATGAGCATTCACCAGGGGCTGGAGGAGGGAAGGTACAGGGTTTCTGTTCCAGGTGATGGCAGATTTTATGCTCCTTGCACATCTTACCACACAACCCCCCCCACCACCACCAGGGATGTTTGGATGCTGCTAACCAGGGACATCTGTTTCCTGCGTAGCCAGCTGTGGTGCCTGTAGAATCCACCGTGGAGCCCTGGGGCAAGTGGAACGCATGGCCCCGGCCCCAGGAGTCGGCCCCTCTGGAAGGAAGGGCCCCCGGCAAGAGTAGCTCTCTTCT